ATAGGAGAAAGGAAACGTATCTAAACTCACCAGTCTGAAACGTGTCTGTGTATCAAGGATGAACAATACGATTGATTTACCAGGAAGGTTACACGGAGATTTCTCTTGTATTCACGTATGAATATATGATGGTACCATTTTTTTTTTAAAGCCATTAAAGACAATATATGTGAATTGTTACAGCAGTGAACAAAATACCTGTACTGTTTTTTGCTGCCATCTAGTGGCAAACTTGTAATTTACAGTACATGTTAATTCCATAGAACATTGTTATGGTTGTATCCAGTCTGAGGTCTAATCGTCACAGCTATATATGGGAAGGATGTGTTTAGAGTCTAGATACAAAATGAACACGTCTACTTGTAGGATTAGGAACAAAAAGTATGCCTTTATTAGTTAAAGAGCCCATAGCATGAAATTGTTACTTGGCGCCATGTGAATACGTACCCAAATTGTCAACAAATTTATAGTTTCAATTATTATTATTGTTATTTATATAGCGCCAACACCCACAAATTCTGCAGCACTGTACAATGGGTGGACGAACAGATATGTATTCATAACTACATGAGTTAGACACAAAAGTAACAGAGGGATTGAGGCCCCGCTCAGTGAGATTACATGCTAGAGGGAGTGGGGTATAGTGACACAGTAACAGAGGGATTGAGGGCCTGCTCGGCGAGTTTACATGTTAGAGGGAGTGGGGTATAGTGACAGTAACAGAGGGATTGAGGCCCTGCTCAGTGAGTTTACATGTTAGAGGGAGTGGGGTATAGTGACACAGTAACAGGGATTGAGGGCCTGCTCAGTGAGTTAACATGTTAGAGGGAGTGGGGTATAGTGACACAGTAACAGAGGGATTGTGGGCCCTGCTCAGTGAGTTTACATGTTAGAGGGAGTGGGGTATAGTGACACAGTAACAGAAGGATTGAGGGCCCTGCTCAGTGGGCTTACATGTTAGAGGGACTGGGGTATAGTGACACTGTAACAGAGGGATTGAGGGCCTGCTCAGTGAGTTTACATGTTAGAGGGAGTGGGGTATAGTGACAGCAACAGAGGGATTGATGGCCTGCTCAGTGAGTTTACATGCTAGAGGGAGTGGGGTATAGTGACAGTAACAGAGGGATTGAGGGCCTGCTCAGTGAGTTTACATGTTAGAGGGAGTGGGGTATAGTGATACAGTAACAGAGGGATTGAGGGCCCTGCTCAGTAAGTTTACATGTTAGAGGGAGTGGGGTATAGTGACACAGTAACAGAGGGATTGAGGGCCTGCTCAGTGAGTTTACATGTTAGAGAGAGTGGGGTATAGTGACACAGTAACAGAGGGATTGAGGGCCTGCTCAGTGAGTTTACATGTTAGAGGGAGTGGGGTATAGTGACAGCAACAGAGGGATTGATGGCCTGCTCAGTGAGTTTACATGCTAGAGGGAGTGGGGTATAGTGACAGTAACAGAGGGATTGAGGGCCTGCTCAGTGAGCTTACATGCTAGAGGGAGTGGGGTATAGTGACGCAGTAACAGAGGGATTGAGGGTCCTGCTCAGTGAGCTTACATGTTAGAGGGAGTGGAATATAGTAACACAGTAACAGAGGATTGAGACTACTCAGTGAGTTTACATGTTAGAGGGAGTGGGGTATAGTGACACAGTAACAGAGGATTGAGGGGCCTGCTCAGTGAGTTTACATGTTAGAGTGGGAGGTATAGTGACACGTGGCACCAGAGGGATTGAGGGCCCTGCTCAGTGAGCTTACATGCTAGGGGAGTGGGGGTAGCAGTGCAACAGAGGGATTGAGGGCCTGCTCAGTGAGTTTACATGTTAGAGGGAGTGGGGTATAGAGACAGTAACAGAGGGATTGAGGGCCTGCTCAGTGAGTTTACATGTTAGAGGGAGTGGGGTATAGTGGCAGTAACAGGAGGGATTGAGGGCCCTGCTCAGTGAGTTTACATGCTAGAGGGAGTGGGGTATAGTGACACAGTAACAGAGGGATTGAGGGGCCTGCTCGGTGAGTTTACATGTTAGAGGGAGTGGGGTATAGTGACACAGTAACAGAGGGATTGAGGGCCCTGCTCAGTGAGTTTACATGTTAGAGGGAGTGGGGTATAGTGGCAGTAACAGAGGGATTGAGGGCCCTGCTCAGTGAGTTTACATGTTAGAGGGAGTGGGGTATAGTGACACAGTAACAGAGGGATTGAGGGCCTGCTCGGTGAGTTTACATGATAGAGGGAGTGGGGTATAGTGACACAGTAACAGAGGGATTGAGGGCCCTGCTCAGTGAGTTTACATGTTAGAGGGAGTGGGGTATAGTGACACAGTAACAGAGGGATTGAGGGCCCTGCTCAGTGAGTTTACATGCAAGGGGGAGTGGGGTATAGTAACATTGACATTATCAATGAAACCCTAAAGGTATATGAGGACTCTGCTCAGACGAGCTTAGATTCTAGAGGAGTGGAGTATAAAAACACAATAAAAAAGACATCAAGGGGGACAGCAAACAACTAGGTGGAAAGGTAGCAGAGTAAGCATGAGTTCGCAGTAAGGATGTGAGAAGAAGGTCACCGCCAGAGCGGGGCATACCTGAGAATAATTGAAAAGAAAAGAGAAAATGGGGCGGGTAACTATGGGACAAAATGTTTCTGAAAAAAAGTATTTATTTGGTTGTTTAAAAGTCCAATTTGGACAGAAAACACTCGGCACACAACACTCTATATACAGGTGGCGTAAGTGAAGATGGGGAAACATTGGATTGGCTGAGATTGTTAATTCTGATGATTTCAGACAAGGATGCGGATATGGGACAGAACCAGCACCGGTGGACCCGTGTGGAATAAAGGTAAGTTTTAACCTTATTTAAGGGGGAGAAGAGCAGGGACCTCAATAGTGTTTTTAACACTATAGGGTCAGGAATTCACATTTGTATTCCTGGCCCTATAGTGTTCCTTTAACCTTTATATAGTGGTCCTGTCCCAAATGATACTGCACAGAGGCTAAAGATGTATTATTTGTGCTGTTTCACAGGTCTGTCAATCCCAATCAATTATCTTTTTTGTTATGGCACTCTGTAATCCTGATATTCTTTATATTCTGTATAAAATGTATTATACTATGGTCTGTCTATTCCTATGTTATTTAGGTTAATTTATTGCCAAGTCTATGGTAAAACTGCATGTATTAATTATATATTAATCTATTGTGTGTGCTCTCACTCTCATATTGTTGGGGCTCTGAAGATCGATATGATTTTAGGCTCCAACTTGTTATTCATAAGTAACGAGCTCGGAGAATCAGCCACACAGACACCAAGTCAGTATAAAGATGATTCCAAATTTTAATGCGCAAGCGGTGCATAATTATACAGGTTCAACAAAGAAGGCGCAGTTTTCACATGATACTTTTAACATGAGTAATTGGCCTTGTACGCTATCTTTAGGTGCTGTTCCCTTTAACAGTTTCAATTCTGTACAAAACAGCTTCTTGTCAGGACACCAAATTGCCACATGGACAAAAACAACTTAACTAACAAACTAGTAGGGAGGACAAAATGGAGTCATTCTTGTTCGTTCATAAATCATAATATCCTCCTTAAAGGACCACTATAGTGCCAGGAAAACATACTCGTTTTCCTGGCACTATAGGGTCTCTAGGTCCCCGTCCCCCCCACACCCTCAGGGCCCCCCTACCGCCAGGCTCTGAAACTGCTATGTTTACAGCATAAAGTGTTAATCCTAGAGGGACCTGACACCCAGACCACTTCATTAAGCTGAAGTGGTCTGGGTGCCTATAGTGGTCCTTTAATAGGATTTATTTGTATACACTCTAGTTAGTAAATAAGTAATTTAGGCCCATATCACATAGTTTAACATCAATACAATTCACAATAACATGAGCTTTATAACAATAGACCCCCCCACATTTAGTGAATGTGGATCTCACAGCTTTTATAGTAACAAGGTATAGAAATAATACTCCATGTGACAGTAACTCCAGCACTGTGTATGATTGATATCAGATGTGGATATAATATTTAATGACAGTGTATCCCAGCCTGCAGCCATCTCTCCCTATCCTCCATCAGATGGGTAACACAGAGAGGGCACCCAGGGAGGCTGGGCCCAGGCTTTACAGGGGATTGTTCGCATTCTGCTTTTACCGAACTGTTTAATTTCTTGCCATTCGGCAATAACACGTTAAACCATGGGATAGAACGCTCAGACAGGTGGAACGCGAATGTAACTCACCTGGAATTCGATCGCTCACAGAACCCGGAAGTGACTGGAACGCACGTGGAACGCATACCGGAAGTGGTCACACCGGCAGTGAACCGAAGCCCCCATTGTAGCCCCAGATCCCAGTATTGGGCAAGTAGTGGGACCTCCTGCGGGTTAATGCTGTGTATGGAGGTAAATATATTCCAAGTTAGAGAAGTGCAGATATCACCTGGAGTCCACTTTCTAAGGATTTCATGTTCTGGGTCCTTTGGGCTCTGCTCTGTGTGGCTAATTGGGTCCATATAGGGCTAGTGACGTCAGAGGGGGTAGTAGAGACAGTCCAAGGGCACTGGGAGAGAAGGGTTTGGTATGTGTGGGCTCCTGGTCAGTTCTATATTGCTGATTATGATCCTGATCTCAAACATTGGAGTTCTGTAGAATTGCCCCCAGAGCTGACAGTCAGGCAGCTGGAATCCTGTTAAAGTTGGTTCCCCATAGAGATGTGTTACCTGATCTCCCAGGAACCCACATGTACACTGTCTGAAGAGGATGCTGAGTGAAGACTTGCTATGTAAGTAACTAAAGTGACACTCTAATCACCCAAAGCACAAATATACAAAAGAGAAAAACTCTTCACGAAAAAGGAACTTACGCAAGCTAAAGTGCTGTATGGGTCCAGAGTGCCCCTTTGTGTACTGTAGCTTGCTGAAGTTCTCTATGTGTGAAGAGTTTTTCTCTTTTGTATATTTTACAAAAAGTGAAGGTTTTCTTTTTTTTTTCAGAAATCAGCACTTTTATAAATTAACCTTGTTACTGGCTTCCAATTAGACAACCTGTCCTGTTACTTTTTTGGTTTATTTGGCTTGGTGGAGTTAAACTCAAGAGGCACCAATTGCCCATTGCACCTTCCTTGCAAAGACTTCTCATTGAGCTGCATTGGGCAGTCTGTGATTGGACGGCAACAGAAAGTCTGGGCGTGGAAAAAGGGGAGGGCTTTCAAGGGCTGAAGACCGCAAGCTGTTTTTAGATGCAGTAGTTCATGCCTGCATAATTGCATTGTGGGTATATCTAGTAAATCTTTAAATATATTTATATATATTATTTACATTGGAGTGTTCCTTTAAGATTTCAATGAGGTTCAGGAGCTGCTCTGCAGCACAGGAAGTCAGGAATTTTAGAGTAAAGGTGAGGTTTAATATCTGGCTTAGGGACTAATGTAGCCTAACCCCAATTATTGTTCTACCTAGATGTAATAATGAAATTAACCTTAGACATTATTGTAACCCGAAGTGTTCGTGATCACCTACTGTAAATTCAGTCCCTAAAGCTAACACTTCTTTAACCCAGAAGTTTCTACTTCCTTGTGCTACAGTGCACTGAAACCCAACCTTTACTTTCCTTACAATATCTCGCCGAGTAGCCTCTTCAGCAAGTGTGCATGCAAGTCTTAGAGAGTTCCGGTAAAAGATTATTATGGGGAACAAACTTTAGCACTACACTGAGCTGCTTATACTTTCCATGCCCAAGTTTAGTGGTGTATTTTGGTTTTGTGCTGCTCTAGGCATGACTTGGACCCCGTCACCTACATTTCTCTTTCTGTTTTCCCACATACTCACTGTCAGCTACACACTCACTGACAGACAGATACGCATACACAATCATTGATAGAAACACATACACAATCAGTGACAGACGCACACTCACTTAGTTGCTCCCTTGATAAAGGCATTTTTGCCGAAACGTTGGGGGTGTTTTTGTGACTGACTCTGTCCCTGCTTCTCACTAGGTCTGGTATGCTTATTGTTATATATATTTTTGTATATTTATGTTTGTGGGGTTGGATTAGACTGTTATTTAATTTCTCTATTTTTTGTATATTGAGACTCTGTTATTTATATAAGACGCTTTTGGCGTACATACATATATATTCAGAATTTTTCTGATCATTGCTGTATAGCATGATATGATCCTATATTTTGGATCTTTATGTTATGTGATATTTTTATAAAGTATACCCACTTAATAAAGATTGTTTTATTACTATTGATGGTTGTGCTCCTTACTCCATTGTTATTTATATGTATTTGGGCTTTTGGGGATAAAGCCTTATGTGAGTGAGCATCCCATATTGTATTTTAATAGAGCTCCACTTGGGAGCTTGCATATATTTCATATTGAGTGTGCCTACCTTATTTAATTTTTAAGCACACTCACTTAGTGTCAGACACACACCCAATCAGAGTCACACACACTCACTGACAGACACACATAAAAACACTGACAGACACACATACACTCTCACTGATAGACACACACACATACACTCACAATTTTTTTTTGTATTATTACAGTCCATCCAGCCTCCCTACCTTTGGGAGTGCTGGAGTGGATTCTCTATTTCCCTGGGATCCAATGGGGGTCCTTTCACTGCCAGGCAGGCAGCGAATGCAGGTGGCGATGGAGCTCTGATCTTCCTGCTCTGCTCCCTTGCGTTTTGCTTAGTGATGCAGGGGCCAGAGTGATGTCATATTCTGGGGTTGGCATCCTTGCGGGGCATGCGAGGGAGCAGAGCAGGAAGAGCTTAAGGGACAGCGCTCCCTCACCGCTCGCCTTCAAAATTAGCAGATGCCAGCCTTGGGGAGGGGGACCGACGGAGAAGAGTTTGACAACACAAATGCCGTGGCATTTAGGGGGCAGTGTTTTCCAGCCCCCCTCCCCACCCCTGAAAGTGCCGCCGAAAGCAAATGCCTTGTCAGCCTTGCGTTAAATACAGCACTGACCAAGTGCATGGTGTTTATGAGATAAATAGTTTAGCCCTCACATGTAAATATACATATCACATAGGATCATTTAAAATAGCAGCCAAACAAAACCTGCTATATTTACAGGGGGTTTCAAAGTTTTTGTAACTTTTGTGTCATGTACTCCTGAGCCTCCAAGCACACAAGCACAAAGATACAAATCGGGCTCTCAACAGAGCTGCAGGGAAGGGAGAATTGGATGAATTGTAGATGGCAAAGGAAGAAGGAAAAATTGTTTCTGGTATGTCCGCCTCAAAACATGAATAGGCAGCAGCACATTATCCTAGTAGACTTTTAGATCCACCATAAATCATAACTGTATGTTCATTGTGCTCCACAGCTAGCTAGCAGCCGAGGGTTTGACTGCTGAGTCCACTCAAATGTGAGTTCTTTTTGAGCAGAAGTTAGACCCTGTCTCAGGGGATCAGAGGAGAACACAGCAGCTGTTTGTGTGGAACCCAGCAGATCAGGTGAGTCTCTCAATAAGCACACCGCAGGAATGGATGCTAAATCTTAACACCCTGCTTTTCCCATGTGTCTCAGCCCAAATTCTATTTTAATGTGGGGTGTCTCTGAGTTTATTAAAGAGCTCCACAGCAGTAAAACTCTGATTAGCGTGCAGTGGATATGGCAATAAAGCTGAGTTCCAGATCATTAAAACGGTGCAATGCACAATAGGCATAGATAATCTCCTCGCTCCTCAGGAAAACAGTCCATAGTTTGTATGTGATAGCAACCTAGAGCTCCACAGCAGTACATTTCACAGTTATATAATGTGAGTGTATCATAGAACACTGTCTAAACATGATCTAATGATGAGTATACATCTGTTGGTGGCATTTGTAGTAGCTTAAATGCCAATGATACCCCATCCACAAGAAAACTTAGGAACAATCCACAGCAAAAAATATAGCAGTCAATATACTTATACTAATACAATATACAAATACTAGGCATTGAAATACAAAGACTGAATGTGCTTTGTGCTCTGTAAAAACATATTGCTGAAAACAATAAAATATAGTTATAAAAAATAAAAGTCCTAAATGAGATAAAAAAATGGGGCTGAATTACTCCATAATGTAATGTGTCCTGTGCAAGTGTATACAGAAATGTCACCCATGAGCTTAAAACAGCAAAGATTGCAATAAAATATGTAGTGAGTGATAAAGAATGGAAGAATTGACCCCTAATATTCACAACAATCTGGAATGACTTTCCACTATAATAAAATTGGTGTGTTCGTGATTCTTTGGAATACACAGCCAATGCCAAGACTAAGCTACTGCCATCCTTAGCTGCCTGGATAGATCTGAAGAGATTAACTTTTTAACTGTTTGTAATTGTATTGGGAACAGGGTAGACTGTTCCCCATCTTGGGATCAAAACCTCTCCAGCTACATCGTCCATCCCTTCTCCACTAGAACCAGAGACCTCCACCACAATTCTTCTTGGTAAGGTCTTCTCTATACCCACTACACAGTCAGATATGCTTTATTGAACATAAGAATTAGCCTCCAGCAATCCAACATTCATGTTATAATGACAACCAAAACAATTTATGCAAATTCCCTAACAAAAACATTCACATAACAATTTAAATAAAGTAGGACTTCAGTGGTAGTGACACTACCCAAAGACTATTCCATTACATAGATTTTTAATATTTGATGCTCCTTCTGACACTATTTACATATGCACAAGCATTCATGTGAACAGTATTGTACTGTATGTTTGTAGATTGCTTTGCAATCAGATGTCCACGGTTACTGTTATTCAAAGGGACAAATACTGTAAAACAAAAGAATGTCCTGTGGTCATTGATGTGTACATTCATGGCTATACTTATAGATGAACGTGACCTTGATCATACAGTGATTCTGTAAAAACATGCACTCACTCATTGAATCTTAAAGGGACACTATAGGCACCAACACAACTTTAGCTTACTGAAGCAGTTATGGTGTATAGATCATGCCTCTGCAGTCTCACTGATCAATTCTCTGCCATTTAGGTGCTAAATCACTTTGTTTATACAGCTCCAGCCACACCTCCCTGCATGTGGCTTACACAGCCTTCCTAAAGACTTCCTGTAAAGAGAGATCTAATGTTTAAACTTCCTTTAATGCACAGTCTATTTCATTTAGAATGTATATTTTGCTCTGTTAATAGACTTCTAGAGCCTGCAGCAGCTTCCTGTGTGTGAATAAAGTTTTATTTACAGAGGGAGGTGTGGCTAAAGCTAAATAAATAGAAACAAAGGTGATTTAACTCGAAATTGGCAGAGAATTGAGCAGTGAGACTGCAGAGACATGATCTATACACCGAAACTGCTCCATTAAGCTAAAGTTGTTTTGAAGCTTATAGTTTTCCTTTAATAGAAGAAAATATAAAGAAAAAAATAGTTGTAGAGAAGCTGCGGTACAACTGGTTGATTAGGCCACTTTGAAGACATAGAACACACACAACTATACAATACTGCCTCAATACGTTATGCACCTTGGGCTAAAGATTAGCACGTTTATGACACTAGTTGTGCCAATGATGACATGATACATATATGTTACAGAGAACAGAATTGCATAGCAATGCTGGTTGCTCAAGTAGAATGAGATCACCAGAACTGTTGTGTGTGCGACACTGAGTACCTTTGAGAATCACTCTTTACTCACCTGTATTACTACAGCAATGTATGCGATAGTAGAAGCACATTGCAGTGATAGTATGCAATAGAATCAGGTAGCTATGCCAGCCAGCGTATCTATAGGTGTGAATATTCCATGACCCATGAGAGCTGTCACATGGCAGGGGTTGCGTGACACATATTTGCAGTTCTTCCCCAGAGTGTAACTGACATAGCCTGCATGAAAAAGATATTTTAACATTTTCGATCAGATGTTAACTTGCTTTAGATCTTCTTTTTTTATCTCCTGCTCTGTAACTTGAACTTTAATCACACACAGGAGGCTCCTGCAAGGTCTAGCAGGCTAATAACAATGCAGGAGATATTCAATTTGAAATTCAAGACATCATGCAATGAAAGAAGTTTAAACAGTAGATGTCACTTTACGGGAAGTGTTTAGAAAGGCAAGCTGTGTAAGTCACATGCAGGGAGGTGTGACTAGGGCTAGAGACTTGAGCAGGGGCATGATCTATACACCAAAACTGCTTCTTTGAACTAAAGTTGTTTTTCAGTAATTTGTTTATAACCAGGATTTTATTTGTTTCTGGGTCAGGGCTTAACATTTGCAGTCATTATTTATGTTTGGCTTGGTGCCTGCATGCCTAATATACGTGGCTGCTGAACTAGTGCTAAAAAAAGCTGGTGTAAAAGGGACCAGATAATTGCGGTTTCAGAATTCACATCCACCTCTAATTTCCTAAGCACACTCCTTTTGCATCCCCTTCCCACCAACTAGACAGTCACTCCAACGGCCCAGTCCTTTTTCTTCAAGTTTTTGTTTCCATGTTGCTAAAATTGCACAGGATTGCTGGATTCTCCAGAACAGTATGGATTAAAGAAGCAGATTGTTACAATAGATTTATAGCCTATCATCCACCTCATCCAACACAGGAGAATCAAAGACAAAGCCGCTTAGAGATTGACGGAATTATAGAGTGAAGGAGACCACAATTGCTCTCACACAACATGTCGATATGCAGCAGATGTATCAAACCATGCATTGTTGACACTGAGGTCAAATTCTACTCACAGTGAAGTTAAGGAATCAGTAAAAATATATTGACCCCTAACTTAACTTTTCAGTTAGCACTATTAGCAATATGTCTCTCGGTGTGAATGTTTTACATCTTCTCAAGTCCTGTTTATATGGAAAGGGGAAAAGACCTATTGACAGTGGGGAGACATGAGATTGTAGTGATATAGGGTGGGCTAGTAATTTCACTGGAAATATAAAGGTCTAACGATAAAAGCTAAGTGGTTTTCACAATGATCAGGAACTTTTACACCTCGATTCATATTTTGCTTTAGATGCTTTTAAAAGTAAAAGTATAACTGAAGGCCATTATATTTGATTTTATTGGGTTTTGTGGTGAAATATATTCTAACCCACTGTTCTCACATTGACAGAAATCTTCTAAGGAAGACTCTGAACAATTCTATATGAATTATGGATGAACTATCAATCATAAAAGTTGAATTGTCTCCAAATCCCATTTTGTCAGATCAAGAGGATACCATTATTCAAGATGCAGACCAGCATAACCAAGAAATCCTCCAAGGGCAAAACCATGAAATTGATAAAATGTCACGTCATTGCTCTGAATCTATCTGTAAACTAGACAATTATGAAAATGGAAAGCACAAGCCTCAACATTTCAAAAACCTAAATGTTCACACAGAGGAGAAACCTTTTGTATGTTCTGAATGTGGGAAATGTTTTCCCAGAAAGTCTAAACTTATCATACATGTGAGAACTCACACAGGAGAGAAACCATTTTCATGCTCTGAATGTGGGAAAGGTTTTCCTTCAATGTCAAATTTAATTAAACATGAAAGAATTCACAGAGGTGTGAAACCATTTTCATGTTCTGAATGTGGAAAATGTTTTATCACAAAGTCAGAGCTTGTTGTGCATGAAAGAATTCACACAGGAGTGAAACCATTTGCATGCTCTGTATGTGGGAAACGTTTTACCACAAAAGCATATCTTAATTCTCATGAAAATGTACACACTGGGGAAAAACTATTTAAATGCTCTGAATGTGGGAAATGTTTTATCAGAAAGGCCGGTCTTATCAAACATAAAAGAATACACACAGGTGAGAAACCATTTGCATGTTCTAAATGTGGAAAGTGTTTTACAACAAAATCAACTTTGATTTTTCATGAGAGAAGGCATGTAGGAGACAAACCATTTGCATGTTCTGAATGTGGGAAACGTTTTACAACAAAGCCAGAACGTATTAAGCATGAGAGAATTCACACAGGTGAGAAATTATTTGCATGTTCTGAATGTGGGAAAAGTTTCACTACAATGCATGAACGTATTAAACATGAGAAAACTCACACTGGAGGAAAATTGTTTGCCTGTTCTAAATGTGGAAAATGCTTTACCACAAAGTCAACTCTCATTGAACATGAAAGAAGACATGCCGGAGACAAACCTTTTGCCTGTTCTGAATGTGGAAAATGTTTTACCACGAAGTCAGATCTAATGAAACATGAAAGAATTCATACAGGAGACAAACCATTTGCATGTTCTGAATGTGGGAAATGTTTTACTACCCAGTCAGGCCGAATGGCTCATGAAAGAATTCATACAGGATTAAAACCATTTGCATGTTCTCTATGTGGGAAACACTTTACAACACAATCTTATCAAATAGCACATGAAAGAACGCATACTGGAGAGAAGCCATTTGCATGTCCTGAGTGTGGGAAATGCTTTATTACAAAGTCAGCTCTCCTTAAGCATAAAAGAACTCACACTGGAGAGAAACCATTTGCATGTTCTGAATGCGGAAAGCGTTTTACTAGAAAGTCATATCTGATTTCCCATGTAACAATGCACACTGGGGTCAAACCATTTGCATGTTGTGAATGTGGTAAAGGTTTTACCAGCACGCAACACCTTCTTAGACATCAGAGCACTCATACGGGTGAAAAACCATTTGAATGTTCTGACTGTGGGAGAGGTTTTTCCAGAATGTCAAGTCTTATTTCTCATGAGAGATCTCACACAGGAGAGAAACCATTTGAATGTTCCGAATGCGGAAAATGTTTTACCAGAAAGTCAAATCTTAATTCACATAAAAAAAGCCACAAAGATGAGAAGTCAGTTGAAAGTGATGAATAAATTTAACAATTTAAAACAAATTCAGATCTTAGATATTTGGAATGCCCCCACCTTGAGAAGAAGTATTGCATGTTCTCAATGAAGGCACTGTTCTATTTTTCATAGTAGTAGTATTTTTTTTATTTCCATGCACACAAGGTAATTCAAAAAATGTAATTTAACATTCAAGATGAAATTAGAAGTTGAAGTTCTAGAACACAGTAGCCAGATTGGAAATATTCTCCAAGTCACCTATGTATTCAGGCCGACTGTTTTGGCTCAAAGTTTTAAATTTACATTGAATCTATGACAATTCAAACTTTAGTGAATAAACCAGATACTGATGCTTGTAAATGGAAGGTCCACAATGTAATTATGCTGATGTTTATCTCAACAGGAAAAGACGTGTATGGAAATTAGAAATTTATAGTTATCACATGCCTTGGAAGCACAAGGTGTGTACACGCTGTTAATATATGTGTACTTGACTATATTGTTTACTTGCGTGATTCTCTACTTCATTGTCTGTATTTCACCTTTCACATCATGCAAATTATTTTCATATTTCAAAATATAGGTTTATTATAACTGAGTAATTCTTCATAGCCTAATAATACATACTATACAATATGTATTTATTAAGTACAGTTAATTTTTTAAAACAGTCAACATTAGTAGATCTTCACAATTAAATGCATTATAATTGTGCATGAGTAATGCTTAATCGTCGTGACTCTCCTTTTCTGCGTCCCTGGTCACCAGTGGCAATATATTAAATCAGGGCAATATCCAAACTAAGACTTAACCACATTGGGGAGTTTCATCCAGAATTATAACATTTATAAGAGTGTGAGATTGTCATCCCATATAGGCTCTTGCTTATTTATCCACACGTCTGTGTACAGAATACCAATCAACTGTAATATGAAATATAAAAAGGATATTACAGTGTCTGACAGTATATCCAAACTCTATCCAATGTTTAGCTGCTTCCTTGCTAGCTGAAACAATGCTGTAAGCTGTGGAAAACTCTGCTGTGTGTATGTTCTTTGAAGCATTATTAAAGGGACACTATAGTCACCAGAACAATTACAGCTTATTGAATTTGTTCTGGTGAGTAGAATCATTACCTTCAGGCTTTTTGCTGTAAACACGGTCTTTTCAGAGAAAATGCAGTGTTTACATTACAGCCTAGTGCTAACTTCACTGGCCACTCCTTAGATGGCTGTTAGAGATCCTTCCTGGGTCATGGCTGCCTAAAATGCATCCAAACATTCCGTGTCTCCTCCCTCTGCATGCAGACACTGAACTTTCCTCATAGAGATTCATTGATTCAATTCATGTCTATGAGGAGATGCTGATTGGCCAGGGCTGTGTTTGAATCATGCTGGCTCTGCCCCTGATCGACCTCCTTGTCAGTCTCAGCCAATCCTATGGGGAAGCATTGTGATTGGATCAGCAGACAGCTTGTTTATCTGAGGCAAACATCATGCAGATCTACAGCTTCAGGCTTCAATACTGTAAGATTTTGCCATATTTATGGAGGCATGAGGGGTCCAGGGGGGCTAGATGGTGGTTTTAACACTCTAGGGACATGAATACATGTTTGTGTTCCTGTAGTGATCCTTTAAGAGCAGTTGAGCTAAAAGAAACTGTGTTACATGTAGAAAACATTGTGACAGTAACACATAATCTCTCAGAATGTCACTAATGATGAAAGGGGCAGATTATATTGATGGAAAGGATAAAGCATACAGTTGGTTAACTTTATAGCTTTATCCTACTAACCAATTAATCCATAAAGGGCAGGTTGGAACTCTAGGTGGAAGGATGTAAATTAACTGGACTAGTTGAACTAGAATGTGATAGATCCCTCAAAAATAGATCCCTCAAAATGTGGTTTGATTTGAGGGTTTGATAAAATAAGATAAAAATAAGATAAAAATGTCTGTGTGGAAACAGAGGTGGAGACTTTAAAAGGGTTTGTTAAAGGGTCCTGTAAGGTGGGTTTAGTGTGAAGGTAATACTCAGATGTAATGTTGCCATGGGACAGCCAGGAAAGGCAGCATTTCTATGCATACTTACCAGACGTACCTAAAACTGGCCGGAACTGGTGTTGGGGTGTTTTTCTTAAAGGAACACTATAGCATTTAGGAATACAAATCTGTATTTTTAAAGCTATAGTGTTTCCTTACCTATGTATGTATACATCTCCCCTAGCAGGGACTTAAAAGGTAAGATTTAGTTACGTTACATCATGCACAATGCTTGTGTCTTTGCTGCCGTTCTGTCTGAGACTGATGATCTGAGCAAATCTAATGTTTCCCCCTCTCGCCCCAGCAAAACACCTGCTGCGCCAATCAAATGCTCTTTATGAGAGTCATTAGAGCTATAGCCGAATCTAACTTAGATAAAGCTGCGGAAGAGACAGCCGAGAGGCATGTTAACCCTGCAATAAAAACATTGCTGTTGCTGCAAAACTATGAATACATTGCCATTAATGTAAAACTGCCATGTTTTCAGATGCAGGGTTAAAATGACAGGGATATGGCACCCAGGTCACTTCTTTGAATTTATAGAGTCTCTTTAAGGTTGATTAAAGATAAAGCTTTAGAATGTACATGTAGTATGTTTCTTATTGTATCTAAGTAGAGAAAGAAAATAATCGGTGTGTTTCTTTGAAAATTCCGTTACCTCACCTCTCCTCATAAACGCAGGTCAAGCAGCAGATAGATTACCTGATGCACAGTTATCTGACTGGAGGATTATAGGATTTTATAAGGCCCTCTCCCTGCCTGTGGTCATTGAGACTCAGTTCTGTATTATATTGTATATATAGTTTTATTGAACTACACATTTAAATCTCTAATGGGTGGTTAATAATAGATGGGGACTAAAAATGTACATCAAAGGATATAAAGTCATCCCACTTCCTCCATTATAATGCGATGAAGTCACTTCATTATTAAATGTATATAGTTACTCTTCCAGTCATTAGTTAATTGTACTTAGATTAAAATTACTGAATACTAACTAATTATCTAGGGTATATTTTGTGATATGATTTATTGGATTATTATTACTACGAATCAGTGTAATAGTCTTATGGAATCAAGCAGTAATACAATTGTGTGTGTTTTGTCATAGCAGTTAGAAGCAATTATGTGTATAATTAATAAAGATGGTTTTTTTTTTACAGAGGCCTGTTTTCATTAATTCATATTAGATTCAATAAAATAAATGGGTTTAGGATAGTTAATGCAATGTAGAAATGAATGTCTTGGCTCTGAGTTAGATACTTAAAGGGATACTATAGTCATCAGAACCACTTCAGCTTACTGTAGTGATTCTGGGACATACAATCTGTCCCTGAAGGCTGAGCATTGTAAACTAAGCATTTTCTGAGAAAAGACAGCTTTTAAATTGCTGCCTATGACAACCTGTAGTGGCTGTCAACTTCAACAACCCCTAGAAGGACTTCCTAGGTTTGGTCCTGCCAAGTTTGCAGGAGTGATATTCAGCATCCCCACTGTGGCGGGACCACTACCTGCTAGTAAATTGCTGTGTGACAATCATTGTGATTTCCCCTATATTGTGTATATTCCTATGTTTTACCTGCTCCCCGTTCGGCAGTCCCCATACGAACGAGTTGTGTTCACCTCCCGAATGGAGACCACCTCGATACCCCATTTAGAATGTTTGTTTGGAACGCTCACACCTCGTTAAAATGTCCGCACCTAGTTAATGAGATGTGAAAACCACAAACCGCAAGGGAAGCCTCGGCGTGTGCCGACCCTGGGTGGCGGCCTGTTCGTTAGAAGAACGCCGCCCAGGAGGAGCATTCGTGGATTGCTTCCCACCCCGTTCGGTTCCCATACTGGGACCCCCCCAGTGCCCCTTTGGAGTGTTCACACCAATCAATTAGAACATTGACAATTCGCAACATAAGTGTGAAAACACAAGGGAAGTAATTAATGAGTGCTTCCCTGGATGGCCACCGTTCGTATAGACGGATAGCGGCCAGGGGGAGCATCCATGTCCCGAATGAGGACGCTGCCCTTGCCTGGTTTCACCCAGGGATCCCACGAACGGAGGCAGCTACCATTTTTGGGGGGGATCCCTGAGATTGGTGGGGACACTCTCTTGGGGACAATGGCAGTTTGGCCGGTTTTCTGGGATGTGGGAAACACTATATTTCAGTGACGAGAACTGGGGACAAAGGGACTGGAGTTCCTGTCCCATGCACAGGCCCCTGGGAGGGGGCACTGAGTGTCGGGAACCAAGAACAAAGAGACTGGGGTTCCGGTTCCGTTGTGCAACCCCCGGGGTGGGGACATTGTCTTCATGTGTGTTCCACCCCTTGCATGGGAAAAGGATAAAGCCGCCCGTGGCCAATAAATTTGTTGTTGTACCCCTGAAACTGTGTACTGTTTATTCCTTACTAGCAGGGGTAACCAGTCCAGTTACCCAGGGCCCACTACACCCACGTTCTAATGTTTCAGTCCAACTACCTCGACATATTAGCAAAAGTTTGGTAATGGGCTGAAATGGTGAATTCATGCTGTTGCACAGCTGTAAAATACAAATTACGTTATCTTATTGATTTTGGAGTTCTAGGAGTGTGTTCTTCACTTTGGATGAGATCATCAAACTTGATGATCTCAGCCAATCCAATGCTTTCCCACGTGCACTACCCTTGCAATGTTTGAAGATCTCATCAGGTGAAGAGGGGGCCGTAGCACTGAGACTAGGCTCCTTGTGCCAGTCCAAACCTGCCACGATGAGATCATCAATGATGGTGAATTATCGTTTAATCAGATACTTGAAGCATTAGTGTAACGGACCGTTTCACTCAAAAGGGGATAAATCCGTTTAGGCGATAATCCCCTTTCCCATAGACCAGCAGCTACTGCAATCACCAACCTCCTGAACTCCAAACTGCACGTATTCACCAACTCTCGAACAGCAGACACAGGAACCCTGGAAGCAGCCGAACAGGAAAAGCAATACAAACGGCTTACACTCCTGGCAGTCAGCACACAATCCAATTCCCCCAATAACGAGACGACACTTCGTTTTGAGGGTTAAGCAGAATCTCCAGTGCTGGCACACCCAGCCTGGTTTTTATTACAATCCACAAAACATAGTACAGCCCACAGGGCGTTACAAAACAACCAATCACATCACAGTTACATCCCACATATTCCCTCCCCTTATCCTGAGAGGAAACTCAATTACACATACAGTTAAAAACATACTTTCTACCCAACTTTCATAACTCTAAAACCATACATCACATTCACATAAAATTACATATTCACAATCAATCCATTCAGGGGAACAACATATTCAAAAATGGCACACATCAGACAAGGGGTTCAAAAGTTAGTAAAAAGTCCTTTGTGACTAAATGAAGCATGGCTTTCTGGCCCAAACCAGTTTCAGAGTCTTCTATCCTGGAGATAAGTAATTCAATTATCTCCCAGGATAGACACAGACTCCATTAAGCACATGGTTGCAAAAAGACACAAAACACTTTAAAATACATAAAGTCACCTTTACACATAACACACAGACATTTCACATATCCCCAGATTAGCTGGGATCTGAGTGCACATTATTAGATGAATGGCACTCAGATCCCACAAATAAGCCTTTCTGCAGGGGAAATAAACGGTTTAACCTGCAGGGCCATAGTCCAAAGGGAGCAGGCGAGCAACCAGGCTTCTCCAGTTCACAGTGGCGAGGTTGGTTTCGCCACAATTAGTATTGTTCAACCTCAACATATTGGGCATGATGACACTGAATGTGAAGTCTGTTGATTTTTGAAGGTCTTAATGAGGAAGCACCTGTAGTGGTTGTCAGTATGACAGCGAATAGAAACGTTTTCTGAGACAAAAGTATCATTGTTATTTCTAAGTAACAGCAATGTTTTACATTGTCCAGGTAAAGGGACTGGAATTTTGTAGTGGTTTTGGTGGTCAGATTGTGTCTTTAATTTGCTTCAAGTTAAGAGTTCAAGAAAAATTATATTTTATAAAAATAATTGACTTCTCTGTATTCTGACTTTCCGACTTGTTATAGCTAGTAAAAAAAAACCCACAAAAACAACATACATAACAAATCTAATTAGGTATGTTTTTTAGATCTAAACTAAATAATAGTAATTTAACATGATAAAGTGTATTATTTCTGTCCTGTGTGGTGTTTCCTACTTTCAATAAAGCTTGAATGATAAAAACAAATAAACAAACATACAATAATAATGTATTTGTTATAATCAACCCAAACTGCCCATTACTGGGTATGAAATATGGAGTGGGAAGGCCATTTGCATGGCTTGCACCACTGTGATGTACAAAGTGATGGGCCTGCCCAAAAAAGTGGGAGATTCATACTCAAACGAAGGTGCTGATCAGGCCCACTCAGGGCTGCACATGCTAAGAGTTCTGTTAAAGCAGTTTGTGCAGCTCAAACATGTCTAATATGATGCCGAGGATATCGGAGGACAACAAGGAACAAGCCAGGTGTGTTGGAGGAAATGGGGAACCCCAATAAGCAAATGTAAAGAGAACTTAAATGTGTGTTTTCAGTGTTTGATATTATTACTACAGTTGAAGAGCTTGGTATTCCAAGCACACAAAACCACACAGAGATGCAATGTGTATTTGTCCATAGTTTAACTTCATTTATACTTTGTCAAGCTATAGAGGTTGTGTTCAGGCTCACAAGTCAGTGTCTCAAATGAGATCCTGCAAGGGTAAACAGTGGCAGATCCTCGCAAGAGAGAGGGTGTGATTAAATGATTGTTTTCAGTTTAAAGTTTACTTGCAAACATCATTTTCAAACAGAGAAAGAAAAGAACAGAAACAACTATTACTGGATCTAATTAACATTTAGTATTTTGAATGGGGATTTATTTTGTTGATGTGGTGCTGTGGTAATGTCAGAGTTTGGCTTTTCAAAGGATTTTGGAATTTTCTTAAAATAATTTATCTACAACATTTCACTTCGACTTTAATGGTGTCTTATGTAGAAGTAAAAGTGTTTCCAACAAATTGTGATGATTTAAAAAGCTTATCCAGACATATTAAATCAAGGCCTGGGTTTGTTATCCACCACCGTGGGTTGTTTTTGTGTAGGAAGTTTCAATTCTGCTGAGCTTGACCTTATTATTTATACCTTGTAAGCAATCACTTAACTTTGTTTGGGTTAATTTGGCAATTGATAAAGGGGTATTCCACTATAAAGAAAAACCTCTTCAGTCCATTTCTCTTATACAGCTCACCTTTTACGTTCTTGACAAGGTATGGCATGGTAAGACATGTCCCAGGGCACACACGACTCACATGTTTCCCATCCTCTGAAACTCAGAGAAATCCAGATTTGTAAAGTGAAACAGTAGACCACCATTTACATGTATTGCTCTCAGCAAGAATTAGAATTGAAACATTGACATAGTTAATTTCGGCCAATCCCCTCTCTTCTGCATGGGCTAATGTTGAAGCATTTGCCTGATGAACAGTGGGTGGAGTGTGACATCTGGCAGCTCTTCTCCTATCACAGCATCCCAATCCTGGTATAAATTGGTTTTACTAGCAATTTTTACGACACTCACTGACAGACACATACACATTCTCTCACGCACACTCACAAAAATTATTTTTACATTTGGGAGAGCTGGAGTGGATCCTTTCCCTGGGGTCCAGTGGTGATTATTTTGCTGGGGTTCTGTGTGGGGGTTGTGTAATCTTCGTGCTCTTCCTACATGGTTCCCTTGCACGCTGTTTAGTAATGCCGTGGCCAGAGTGACATCGTATACTGGCTCCCAGCATTACCGCAGGGTGTGCATTGGAGCAATGCTGGAAGAGCATTAAGAATACAGCTCCCTCGCTACCTCTGCCTCCATTTTCCCCTGGACACTGCATTGAGCAGAGTAGGCACCTGCCGACTAGGTAAACAGGCGCTTAATCTGCCTTAGTGCATAGCCAGCTGTCTCATGGGGGATGCTAAGATGGCCAGCTCTTAGCTAACCCCCTGCCTTTGGGTATGTTTCCATGAGTTTAGAAACTGTGGTTTATGATATGCCCCAATTGCACCATATTTAAGTATATATTACCCCTCCAAGCAAAGTATCTCACTTCCTGTCACCTGCAGAGTATCTCTGTTCTCATCTGCTGCATGGTATCTCACTTCCTTTCACCTACAATGTATAATTCCCCCTGTCACCTGCAGGATATTCAACTTTGTGTTACCTGCAGTGTATCCCATTCACTGTGATCCACAGAATACCTCAACCCCTGTCACCTGCAGAGTATCTCACTCCCTGTCACCTGCAGAGTATCTAAATACTGTCAGCTGCAGAGTATTTCACTGTCGGATGCAGAGTATCTCACTTCCGGTACCTGCAGAGTTTTTCACCGACAGCTGCAGAGCATCTTACTTGCTGTCACTTGCAGAGTATTTCACGGTTAGCTGCAGAGAATCTTACTCCTTGTCACCTGCAGAGTATCTAACCATCAGCTGGAGACTTTCTCACTCGCAAAGAGTACCTTGTCCGCTCTCATTCACAGAGTATCAATCTCCTATCTCATAACTAACACTAATTACAAAGCAAAATGTTCCACCAGAGGCCCCTCCTGCTATAGACAGCTCACAGCCCGTGTGTTCAGTCATTAGTAAATAACTAACCACCAGTGCACATTTGCGACCATTTAGCGTAAGTAAGCGTTGTACCTGAATCTATTATGGTCGGAGAAAACGTCAACTTCCAGCATGAACCACAAACGCTGATGGATCTGATGTAATAACAATGCGCAGTGCGTGAGGTGAGGTGAAGGAGCGGTAAAAGAGCTTGGTGCCATGTTATAACGTGGAAAATTTGTATTCCTTACACCAAGCATGTCAAACTCAAAGGCTCACACGGGCCAAATAAACAAGGTTTACGTTTATGTGGCTCGCAAAAAAACAAAAACTTCAGTTTTCATAGAAACGTAGGTTTATTTAGAAAAGTACAGTATAAAAACGTTGTCTAACTGACAATGGGTGTCCTCACGCCCCTCGGGCTTCAAAGTAAACAAAAGAGCAAATTTATTTTAAGGAGACGTGCATTTGCATATAACCAATGTTTCAATTCAACTACCTTGACATATTACGAAGAGTGTGGTAATGGGACTGAAATGGTGAAGACATGCGGTTACACAGCTGTAAAATACAAATGACGTTATCTTGTTAATTTTGGAGTTCTAGGAGTGTGTTCTTCACTTTGGAGGAGATCATCAAACTTGATGATCTCAGCCAATCCAATGCTTTCCCGTAGGAAAGCATTGGGGGGCTAGTGTGCATGTGTGGCAAAAAGCTGCGCGACCAAACAGCATCTCCATGGGGAGCATTCTGCGCCTCCATGCAGAACCATTCTAATACAATGCTCCCTCCCCCCATTCTAATACAGTGCCCACAAATCCAATACATTGCCCCCCCTCGCTCCACTGCTATATACTGCCCTCTTCACCCAATCTAATACATGGCCCCTCCTCCCTCCGCTCTAGTTTAATAGACTGCCCCCACCACTTTAATATACTGGCCCTCTCCTTCCTTCAAATACACTGCTCCCCTCCCCAATTTAATACAATGGCCCCCTGACTTCCCCAAATTAATACAGTGCCCCCTCCCTCCCATTAATGCCCCCCCACCACCACTCTAATATACTGGCCCCCTCCCTTCCTCAAACAAATACACTGACCCTCTTCTCCTACCTTACGATTTGCTGTCTGTCCTCCAACTCCAGACACTCTTGTGGCAGCTGAAAGTGGCCCAGGGCGGCAAGGCCGCAAAAATAAGCATTGAGGGCAGCATGTTTGACATGCTTGCCTTACACTATAGCTCAACCCCTTCCCCCTCCCCTTCCCCAGCATTGAAAGGTTTAAAAAAAAAAACAAAAAAAAAACCCAACAACTTACTGTATTCAACCGATTCCAGCTCTGATCTCCCTCGGCATTGGGTTAGCTCCACGCCTCCTTGACACCATCCAGTGGGGAGCTAATGCGCATGCATGGTGAATGCCACAAGCATATTAGGCCCTCCCCACAGGAAAGCATTACTGCAATGCTTTCCAATGGGTAGTTTACAGATGCTGGCTGTCCTCATGCACAGCGTGCAGTTAGGTCGCCTGCAGCCCATTAGGATCCAGGAAGAGTCTCTAGTGGCTGTCTGATTGAAAGTCTTAGTCCTGCAATGTAATTATTGCAATGCTTTACTTTGCAGGACTAACTGGGACACTGCACCCAAACCACTTTAATGGTCTGAAGTAGTCTGGGTGCCTATAGAATTCCTATAATTTAACCAAAACCCTTTTGTTTTTTTTTAATGAAAACATTTTCTGGTCTGAGCAATTCATTAAAGGGATTCAAAAAGTGCTAGGAATACATAGCTGTACTCCTGGCACTATAGCTGATAGACAGCCACTGTAGGCAGACTTAGTGCTGCAATTTAAACATTGCAGTTTCTCTGGAAGTGCAATAGGTATACTGTACCCAGACCACTTCAATGAGCTGCAACATGGCATTTTAAAAACAGTTTGACTTATTTTCTGGGGTTTGCATCATGGAGCGTAGGTTGGGAGCAGAGCAGCTTTGAGACACAGCAAGTTAAACTATCCTGCTCTTATGGGCTTGGGTCTATTGTTAATACCAACTCCTGCCCCCTTGTAGGGCTGCAAAAGAGCATGAAGGAGTCTGTGGTTCCCTGAAAGTTTTTATATTCTCTGCCTGAAGCCTTGTTGCTTCCCTCACATCTTCAATCATGTTCATTTTCAGCGGCCAACCGGTCAATTGCTTTTGCTGTTATAATTTCAGGAACTTGTATCTTGGCAATTGGAACTTGCTGCAAGCATTGTCTAGAAGCATCAACGTCAGGATCCAGGTTAGTCTGCCATTAAGGGGGAGGAGTGAAGCAAAACCTTGCAGAGAGGCTTGCAGGCTAGTCTCTTACGAAGAGACTATGGACACTTGTGATTACACTCGCTCTCCAGGTCTGAAAGGTTAAACTATCCAGAAAATCTCAGGACAAACATCTACGCATGTGTGACAGGTTAGGGCGCCTTAAGGGTGCCTTCCCTCTGTGGGAGGTCAGGATCCTCTGTATATGTTGTTCGTATGCCGTACAGCAATCAGGAACCAAGTCAGTAGGTATAAAGAATGTATGAACTCCAAATGTGTTAAAAAAAATTAAAATATATAAAAGCAAATAATAGGTCACTGGTCCTACGCATTTCGTTTCAAAAAAACTTCCTCAGGGACCATAGTAAAAACAATTACAGAATAAAACACTCAGTAACAAGCTTGATTGTTACTGATAGTGTTTTATTCTGCAATTGTAATAAAACACTGTAATACTAAAATTTAATTTGGGGATGCTGCTGTGATAGACTGAAGTCGAGAAATATAAATTGCCATTCAGTTCCATTTAATGTTAAGAAGACTTCATGGTATTTAACAAGCTTTGAACAGACCATATAATTGTCGGTCATTCTTGAGCTAGTTTAAGAATCCATCATGCATACAGGTAATAATCAAAACGTCAATTTTCAGAGTTAATCCAACTTCCAATACCATAAAGCTCAGGTAGTGCATTTAGATGGTGAAATTTAAATAGAAGATACATGTTTAAGGATGTTCTTATTCAAATAATTAATATTTAATAATAATAAAATAAATCAATAATACCTCAATTCATGAATAGGTTTCTTTTCCCCACAGTGAATTATGTGGAGGTTTTGTGCTTTGTGAGTTAATTGTATGTACAATGATGGAGGAGGCATCAAGCAGATACTGGATTTGATTATTAAGATATAGGCATGTAGACTTTTACCTTCCATTCTTTGTTTTTCACTGTTAAGTTGTCAGGATTACAAGTTGATCCAGCACGCAGTACTGTGTCACACCTAGGACTAAGGATAACGTATAACCGGACCTTAGAATGGCCGGACTTAACGTCTCCAAGAATAGTCAAAATACTTGCCCATGTCAGGGACACAGAATCAAACACAAAGATGAGGAAAAGTCAACCGTCAAGGATATCAGGGAAGTCAAATCCCAAAAAAAAAAAAAAAAAAAAAAATCAAGCTCAGGAACACACTCTCGGATAACCATAGGCATGAAACCACGACAGGTCACTGAGCAAGAGGAGAACTGGGCCTAAATACCCCTCTTGTGGATCCGATTGGCTGTAACCGGCCTTTGACCCCAAAGGCAAATATCAGGATACCATTTGCATGATTGCTGCTCAGCACAAACCCTCCTGTGGATTTGATTGCTGCTCGGCACAACTTTTCCTGTCACGACAGTAGATGCCATTAACCACATATTTATGTACGGATGAATACGTGACCTAAGTGTAATAATTAAGTGACTCTGTCTCTACCTCACTACATACTTCCTTTTTGTACTGTACCTTGAAAAATAATGTCTTTCATGTTTCTACAACTTTTAATTCTCATATTATGTAGAGTGGGTTGGTATTTAGCAGTATGACTGTGGACAAAAACAGTTGGGAATGATACCTCTTTAAATAAAATAAAATGCATTACATAATTAACAAAACAATACTCACTGCTACATAAGGAGGAAACATTTAATGCATCTCATCTCGTTAACACCAAAATCTTACAAATGTTATATTTTTCACACGTGTACATAAACAAAACAAAACAAAAAAAAAATTTGAAATAACGGTCATAGGGAATTATCAACTTTTTGGTTATAAAACAGACTGATGACAAGTTTTCATGAACCGTTTATGTAGTAAATGTTCATGCATATTTGCATAGTTATACTTAACGAGGTCCTTATGTATTTATATTGCCACTGTTATATGTGCATTTGTGTCAGTGAGTTTAACTGCAAGCTTTTTGTATATTAGTGTTACGTGCTGGTGTTTTTGTGTGCCCGTACACGTAGGGTGAGTAAGTGAATAGAGGTGTGCATTTATGTATAGTGCAAGTATGCAGGGATGTGCTTGTGTATAGTGAAAACAGGAGCAAACATGTTTGCAATATAGGCATGTATAAATTCACCTGCATATTTCCATGAAATAAATACATTATCAGATAAATAGGAATTTAAAGAGGACGAGGAGGTGCATCAATAGAACTTTAGAACAATTAAGTAGTACTCAGATTGGCTAGGGATAAACCACATGATATGTATGTAAACTCCTATTCTCCAATGTTACCACATAATTCGGTCTCCCTGTACTTCCCGATAGATAGAGCGGAAAAACAAAAAAGTTAGGAAAGTAAGCATTGCAGAGACTTCTAGCCAACCAGGGGAACATGCGGCTTTACTTCCATGTGTTACAGAAAAGAGAAAGGGAAACTTCATCAAAACAACATCTCAGACACCAGGGGGAAAGGAGTGCCAGGTGGTTTAATTTTGCTACAAGTGCAGAGTGCCATGACCAGCTCGAATACAAAATTATCATCTCCTACAGTGTACCCGTGAGATTCCACTAGATGTAAACAATGTCAGTTTGTAAGTAGTAATCAGACACCCTTCAATTTTAATATAATTATATTTTCAAACTACCTTTTCTTGGTCATAGTCATGTCTTGTACTTGCATTCATTGCCGGTCAGAGTTAATCTGTATGGTGGAATCCATTTACGTTAAGATTTGTTATTCACCGACTAGTTAGCATTGCTCCACAAATTATTTTACCACTAGTGACCTTACTAAAGGAGCATAATCTGTAAGTTAAAGGGTTACAATATATATATAAATAATTATCTATTTTATACCTGCAAAATGCCTTTGTTTACATTACTGCTTCTGTGCCTTGCATTTTGGAAGAAAAAAAAAAAAAAAAGTACGTTTTCTCTATAAAAAGGTTTCACATTCAGCACAAGCATAGTTTCTCTGTTATATGAATCTTCTGATGCTTCTGAAGAATCAAGGAACTGGTAAAACATTTTCCACATTCAACCCATGATTGTATTTTTCTCCTGTGTGAATCAGCTGGTGTGCAAGATTAGATTTAGAAATAAAACATTTCCAACACTGAGAACACAAGAATGGCTTCTCTCATGTGTGAATTCTCTGATGCGTAACAAGATGTGATTTACAAGTAAAACGTCTTACACAGTAAGAACAGGAAAAAGGTTTCTCACCAGTGTGAATTCGCTTATGGTCATTGAGGTCAGATTTATATACAAAACATTTCTCACATTCAGAACATGAAAAAGGTCTCTCTCCAGTGTGAATCCTTAGATGTCTACGAAGATCTGAAGAGCAGGTAAAGCATTTCCCACATTCAACACACGCGTGTGCTTTCTTTCCTGCATGAAACATCTCATGTCTAACAAGGTTTGCTTTCAAAGCAAAGCATTTTCCACATTGAGAACATGAGAATGGCTTCACTCCTGTGTGAACCATCTGATGTCTAATAAAATTAGAACTTTTACTGAAACATTTCCCACATTCAGTACACGAGAAAGGCTTCTCTCCGGTGTGAATTCTCTGATGTCGAACTAAACCAGATTTATTCATAAAATATTTCCCACATTCAGAACATAAAAAAGGTGTCTCGCCTGTATGAATCCACTGGTGTTTAACAAATTCCAATTTAGAGGCAAAGCATTTCTGACATTCAGAACATGAGAAAGATTCAGTGTGAATCCTTTGATGCATATGAAGATGTGAAGCAATGCTAAAACATTTCCCACATTCACCACACGAGTGCACTTTGTGGCCTGTGTGAATCCTCTGATGCAAAACCAGATTTGATTTAAGAGTAAAGTGTTTACCACACTCCGAACAAGATAAATTGTCATCTCCTTTGTGAATCCTCTGATGTCTGACAAGATTTGATTTAAGAGTAAAGTATTTCCCACACACGGAACAAGATAAATTTTTGTCTTCTGTGTGAATGTTCTGATGTCTAACAAGATATGACGACCGCGTAAAACATTTCCCACAGTGGGAACATGAATGCCCCTTTACTTCTGTGTGAATTTTCTCATGTTTAATCAAAGCTGACCTTTGAGTAAAGCTTTTTTTACACTCTGAACACGAAAAGGATTTAAGATGTGGTTTATCAGATACAGACGTTGGCCCACTTCCTTGGTGAATTAGCTGATGTTTAACAAATTCTGAGTTGCTTGTAAAACATGTCTGACATTCAGAACAGGTATGGAATTCTTTTGTAATATGGGAATTTTGGTGATGAGAGGACTTACAATTAAATATTTTATTGCACTCAAAGTTCTTTTCTGATTTTACAGCTTTGTGTGTTCTTTTTGCATTACTCTTACTTACCCTGTCTGCAGTATTAATCCATATATCTCTCATTTGTAGGCAATTTGTTTGGTCAAAATTGTCAGGGTCCATAAGATGCCCATCAGATTTTGCAGATTCCTCCTTTATATGAGTAGGTGTATGTTCTCTGATAATATGCTCTGTAGGTTTGTCCGGGTCCATGTCCTTTCTTTCTTCATATGAGGCTGGTTCCTCCTTAATAGAAGGAGTACAATCCATCTGTGATGTAGATTTATAAATATCCATGTTGGAAAAACTTGCTGCCTCACGTGAGACAGAAAACTGTCCCGTATTTCTGAAAGTTCTGCTCGCTTGATGCTTTGGTTTGTTTAGAGTCAAGAATTTAGTTCCTTGGATGCCCTCATTTACACAGTGTGCTAATGTAACAGAGGTATGGAATCCACATTTCTCTGTTCTTTTGGATCTACCTACAAAAATAAATGCAGAGACTAGATTATTTTCTTTCCATTGACCGTTCATGGTTTATGATATATTTCACTAGGTAGGTTTAATTTTGAAAACACAGGTGGTCGCATCGATTTTCTGCATTCTGTTATGTTTTAGGTTACATTAACTATAATTAAAGTCTGTAAACTTCATATAATAAAATAATTTAAAAAATAAATAAAAAAAACACAACTTAAGTGAACACCCAACATTACATTGCACATTAAATTGTTGTATTTTGAAGAGGTTACCAGGACAACTGGCTATTACGGAACACTCCGAGAAGATGTTATGGAGTGTTAGTTAGAACGCTCTGTTCAAAGACTTCTGTTAAATTTAGTGCTACTCACAGAGAAGCATTGGTTACAAAAAGCACATGCATAGCAATTGCCACACAAGTGTCATTATGTCTAAGATTAGCATGAGCTTTAAAGCTAAAACCCTATAAAGCACCAATTATTGTGTCATCGGCAAAGAGTATGCTGGAGCCTCAGCTTTACAGGGAGATGTCCTGAAAAAAGCCAGTAAATAGCGGTCACAAACGCCGCTCTACTGTTCAAGCTTAGAAACTCCTCTGCTGTTAAAAAGTACGGATAGAGGTAACCCTTTAGGGTTTTAGTTAAGTGTAGGATTAGGGTTAATTTCATTTTAGGTTTAGGGATAGTGTGGGGGTAACGTATAATATACATATACACATATATATACATACATACACACATACATACACATACACACACCATATATGTTAGATTACATGGTCAGAGGTAGGGTTGCCAGGGCTCAAAATTGCCATTAAGCCTTGAGGTTGGTATAGAGTTAGCGTTTAATACCTGCTGTGGTCTTTAAGAAAACGGGGAGCTCCATATTAAAGTGTGATTCCACAAGTTGCCAGCAACTAGCTTTTGTCTAGTCTCTTTCTAATGTCTTGGTAGGAATCCATGCAAGTTTAAATCATGCTAAGGAACCATATTCAATTATGTGTATTGCCAGTAAAACAAGCAAGTTAGTTTACACTGTAACAGCCGGAACATACAACTACAGAATATCCTAGGATGCCGGTGAGTCGGCTACCATGCAAACATAACCTTGGCGCTTAGTTGAGCAGTTAGCAAGAATACATATATTAAAAGGCCATTATGCCTGAATTTGTGGGAGGAGTTAAGGCACCTACTTAAACCCCTAGCCCCTACTCACCTCTGTCGTTCAAGCTGATTGACTCACCTTGGCAACCAGAACTTCCGGTCCAAATTCCCACCAGAAAAAGTTACCGAAGCCAGCAGGAGTCCTGTCACTGCAGTATCCTCTGCCTCCGACGTCCAGGCCCCTAGCCTCTACTCACCGCTGTCATTCAAGCCGATTAACCCCACCCACCTACACCCATCTATATATTACATTTCACCTTGGTGGGCCCTCTTTTTATTACAGGCCTACTCGTACGTTGTTTCGGCACACCTCAACCAACTTTTGCATCTTCTACAATCCATAACATATTGAAATTCAGAGCAAATACACACACACACACACACACACACACACACACAAAATATATATATTATTATATGTATGGGGACACTTAATGAGAAACCCTTCAAATTACGGTGAAACAAAGGCATTCTAGGTTCTGTTTTAAAGTTGGACAATTGCCTCCAACTTAAAGCATCTTCTGTAGTCTTTGAATATTTTGCAATTGGGACATCGCTGCTTGGTATGGAGGATGAGCTTTACTTACCTGAACCAGTTCCTCTTGGCTGCTGCAATTTTCTTTCATCCTCTTCAGCTCCTGAGGCATCATTTGCCTTGAGCCCACATCAGTGCTGAACTCCCATGCATATGCGAGAGTACAACACTTGTCTATGGATGATCTGGAGAGACGCTATAGAATAAGCTTTTTTTTCTCCCCTTCAGTGCTTTGGCCAGTCAACTTTCAGGAGCTTCTGCGGACAAAGTACGAGGTGTTCCTCCTGGCTCTCAGTCTCCGGCACCTTCCCTCCAAAAAGCACTCTCCTGGCAGGACCAATATGACCGGGAACCATGAAGTTCTCTAGCCAAAGAGGGTTCCATAGCAGTTGCGGCTAAGTACTGCTAAGGACCATTTGCAGGTTTGTTTGTACAAACAACCGCCATGGAGCGAGTTTTCGGGTGAATTCAGGAGAGGGAAAGTGCGCCAAGGATAAGCCTCTGGGGGAAGCCGGGCAGGTTAACTTCCGAATGGGGTCTGCGGACCGGGATCATCTGTGGGCCAGAGGCCAGCTTCCACCCTCCTCCAGAACTTCGTGGCAAAGGAGCGTTGGCAGAGAGTGCTGCTTGTGCCAACAATCTAGCGTGACCATGAGAGGAGCATGATGTAGTAAGAGGTCCTGAAATGTTGGGATTTTGGTAGGTCATTTGGCAGCAGTGGGGTATGCTTGGAAGAATACCCAAAATTGTGAATGAGAGAATGTTGTGATGGCCTGGTATGTGTATACGGAAAAGGTAAGATTGCTGTGTTGCTGCCAGCCAAGTCAAATTCCTAATTAACATCATTATAATTAGTGAGAACAAACCTATATTTTTTATTTCACATGCTGCTGTGCGAGTAGCATTTGACAGATATCCCCCTCCACAGAGAAGTATACCCCATCGTACAGCTGCCACGATGGGGTATACTTCAAAGAGCTGAAGTTTAACTAAATGAGGGCAGGCTCTGCAACTGTGGGCCATAGGGCACAGAACCAGGTATTGAAAATTGCTGCAAATCCAGTGGGGACAGCAGCGTCAGTACAGATAACGGGGGATGCATCGGACAGTGGGAGAATGAACATGGCTTTCTTGCTCCAGTGGAAAAGGGAGTTTAGCCCCATGAACAGGTCTGCTTGAGTGTCTCAATGTACTTGTCGGCAGGTAACCATGGAGCAAGCGGAGTAGTTGGGAAATGAAGTAGCAACCTTGTGGTAAACGCATAAGTTCAGAGAGCCAAGGTGAGACTAGACAAACGGAAAAGGCATCTTTGCCAAGAAGGACTCCACATTTCCCTGATAAGGTGGAACATATGCTCAGAAAACATACTTGCACCAGCGCCCTCTCTACATTAGTTCCACCACTGGGATACATGAGGTGCCAGCATGAAAGAACGGGACACAGCACTTCTGATTCTGACCAAGTCTGTGAGTAGGCAATCCTCTAAAATGGATTGCCATGATGTGCCAAGTTTCTGCCTCTAAAACTGCCATGATGTGCTAACTTTATGCATTTAAAAATGGATTGCCATTGTGTGCCAAGTTTATACATTCAAAGCTGCTATTGTGTGCCAATTGTATGCCTCTAAAGCAGATTGCCATGGTGTGCCAATTGTATCCCTCTAAAGCGAATTGCCATGGTGTGCCAATTGTATGCCTCTAAAGCGAATTGCCATGGTGTTCATTTTAAAATACGCAATACAAGCAAGTGGGTCTCAAAATTAGGGTTTTCAAAAGTGGGTCATAAAAGTTTGAGAAGCCCTGAGATAGTGTGTTGTGGTTAGGGATTAAAATGCCAACAAAAGGAAGACAAATAGGGAGAGGAGAAACCTAAATAATGGAACTTTTGATTATGAGCATAAACCTACGCCAATCAATATGGATATGAAAGATACCTAGTAGTGCTGCATCTAATTAACAAATGTAGGTTAATCATACCAAGTTTGAAGGAGTTGTGAAATGGACTTTGAATTTCATATGGACAGTAGTGATGTTCTAGTGTTCAATCTGGCATTCGATTATTATTATTTTTTTTTTTACAGAGTTGTATAATAAGGCAATGCATAACTCCCGAGCGGCAGGTAGGCCAAAATTAGGCCGTAGTGGTATTTTGATTTTAGAATCCAGTGAGTGCTCTCATTTTTTTTGCATTGAATATTATTCCTGCACCGTGCAGCACTTTGGTTTATATATTATTGATTGATTTCCAATGTTAGGATGAGTGCCAGACACAGAGTTTTGTGAAATATTAAATAATTTGAAAAGCTTATACAACAATACTAAATGCAGGTCAACGAGGCGATTTTTCTTGTTTCCACTATTCCTATGAAATGTTTAAAATGATTAAATTTCCTAATGACATTAAAATTAAACTAACTTCATCAATGGTCCAATGAAACACATAAAACTGGCAGCCAAGTTATATCTAGGAAAGTAAGATGTAACTTAAGAAGGCTTCCCTTACCCGAAGACTTGAAACAAAATAATAGTCCAGTAATGTATTCTATAAGAGACTGCAAGATTTATCCCAGCCTAGTAATTGTTCTTAAAGAATAAGTCTCATATACACACATACAAACCATACATTTTTAATATATACCTTTAAAACCGTATACAAGTCGTAAAATATTAATTAATGGATTTATTTTTATATATAAATCTATGAATTATACATATATACATGCATTCACACACACAACTCACCAGAGCTGGTATGTTTCTCTTTATCCAGTCTGTGACTCTTCACATGCGCTTCTTCTCTTCGTTTAAGAACAGATATAATTCGAGGCACCATTCTGATCCGCCCTGTTTATAATTACATTTATTATATGCAAATATTTCTAAAAATTATTCCAAACTTTCCACACAAAATCAAGTCATAGTAAACTATTAATAAGATGTAAATTTCCTCACCTAGAGACCAGAGGGTCCGGTAATTCTCCATCATCACGTCCACGTAAAGCTCTTTATCGTCTTCTGTTAAAGAGCCCCATTCATCCTCCGAGAAGTAAATGGCGACTTCGTCAAACTCACATTGTCCCTATATAAAATAATGATTTACATTCTCACAAAGTAATCAACCAATGTTTTGGAATATGGGCACTCTCAGGCATCTGAAGAGAAATGCCATCTGAGTACCTGCAAGCTTCCATAGTGTAAATATGCGCGAGGCACTATGGGTTAAAGTTATCTGCATCATTTAGTCTGGCTGCTCCAGGCACACAATTTACATTTAAATAAATGAAGAATGTAAAATGTATTTTCTAATTCTTAAAGTCATAGTTAATTTAGCAAAATTCTCACGAGACAGTTCATCTTTTAACTCCATCATCAATATCCATGCAGATGAAAAGAGAAGCCTCTACATTTCTCTCGTACCTGTCCACTGAGCTGGTAGTCTAGCTCTGAAGAAAACTTCATCTTCGCCATCACTTTCTTTGTATCCATGGCTATTTGTAAGGTACTAGATTATATGACTACTCCAAATAACGGATGTGGATCTTCATGAAAATGTACATGTGATGCTGTTTCTTATTGTGCAGCAACTCTATCCTGTGGTAAGAAAGAAATAAGTCAAAATAACCTCCTTGGTCTACATTGAGTTTTTCATTCACTGCCCTCTTAGACAAAGCAAATGTTTATACACGAGGCAGTGGCGTAAATACCGCGGTCACAGCTGTGACCGGGCCCAGCTGCCCTGTGGACCCCTGCGATTGGATGCCTGCTGCCATGTGTTGCGGCCCAGGGCAGCACGTTCAAGGGGCCCATGCTGTTAGGGCCACCCGATGGAGATGAATTTCCAGGGGGCCCTGGTCAGCGCTGTGGTGACAGACAACACATATGGTGACCCCTGTGAGGACATCAGACGCTGGAAGGAAGTGACTGCCCCGGTCATTCATCCCAGCTATCAGAAAGAGCCCGCTCGGGTGGAAGGACAGGGAGTCAGAGTGGAAACTCTGACTCCCACCAGCCTGAGCTACCACTGGACCCCAGGGAAAATCACCCTCCTGCACCAAAAAGGTAGGAAACAGGAGGGTGACAAACATTTTGTGTATGTATGTATGTATGTCTGTCTGTGTCTGGCAGGGGTGGGGGGGGGGGATGGAGGGCCCATGGATCAGTTTCGCACCAGAGCCCCATGGATTGTGTGTACGTCACTGACTTGAGGCTAAGGTCAAAAAAGACACTAGGGCAATACCTTACATATAAAATCAGATAAAAGAACATTGGAACCTAACAAATAAACAAGAAATCAGTAAGTAGCACAAAAAAGATTAAACTCCTGTCAAAGGTTACAAGGGTACCCACAATGTATGTATATATTTATTTCTGTGTTCAGGGCATAGAAAGCCATCATGACAGTATGTAACTTAAATAACTTATACCATACAATAACATGAAATTATGAACAGTCGGTTGTGGTGTGCCGAACAGACAATGCGCTAGGCCTGTAATAAAAGAGGGCAAAAAGAGTATACCATACTAGATTTATTCAGCCTACAGTGACAGTCATATAGCATATATCACGTATACAAGTTACAAAAAGCTTCACGTATTTCCTGTATTAGATGTGGCATGTATCTGGTATATGCTGATGAATTCCACTGTCCCAATGTCTTGATAATATGTACCGGTATGTTTCTGCTGTAAGCAGTGGTGGCTGTTCCAATGTGAAAGGAGTGTCCCGAGTAGTGGGATGGATTGAGACGTAACCTAGCCAGCAATACTCTAATATAGAGTGTGAATTTACTAGTGGTGAGGGCATTGCCATGTAAGGTAAACAAAGGTTGGTCAGGAGAACCTGGAACAATAGTTAGGAATTTATCTAGTGCTTGTATCAGGCACCATTTGTTACTGGTAGGGTAACTTTACCAGTTTATTCTTTGGTGTGGTTTTAGTGTGGTTGAGGGAAAGTATGTAGTGATCTTGTATTTTTACAATCTGGGATCTCTTAATGGCATCTTGGGATGTGATGTTTGTAGTGGTAAACTCTCCGGGTCTAAGGGACCCATAGAAAGCCAAGTAGATAGCAGTTTTAATGACATGATTAGTGTGTGATTTGAAAGGGTTTGAATCCATAAGCTCTGATAATAAAAGTTGACTATGAATAGGTGATCTAGAAGATGTGGTATGGGGTTTGAATTTTTAATGCCTTTTAGTATGGTTTTGAGAAGATGATAGGAAACTGTGGTTGTTTGGCCAAAGTAAGTATTTGGGGTTCTATCCCTGTCAGGTATAATTTGATGGTATTGTAAGATGATTTTAATTTGAGGTGGTAAAAAGAAGTGAAAGCTACAATAGTTCATCGAATGTTTATTTACAACCTGAAAGTCCAACAAGAATCTGTTATGAATACGGAATGCCCTGTCGTATGACTTTCTAGTATTGTCAGACAAAGCCAATTATGAAAAGGAGTCTGCCATGAGTTAACAGATCTCTGAATCCAATGTCATGTCCTGCCATGACGGAGCCAGGGTAGCCACCATGGCTGCCGTCAGTAACGCTTTGTGGAATAACTGAAATTACAGTTAGCCGCCAGTCAAGACAATTCCTCAGAAAGCTCATGATGGTCAGAGATTTAGAACAACCTTTGTTAATTATATGGCAGGTGGCTAAGTTGATGAAAAACCATCTCACCGCCTGACCTGACCATGCTGATCCCCATGCTACTGTAGCAGCTACAATAATAGGATATAGCTCGAACATTGCAGAGGTGGTGGGAAAACCTGGTACATTGGTGATAATTGGCTTTGGCCTATTAAAGTGTACAAATATAGCCGCAAAGCCTGAAATGGCAGCTGTGTCTGTAGAAAAAAAAGTCAGGGAGTCAGATGTAAGTAAAGGGATAAACATGCTTTTCCCATTCCATCTCATGATAAATTCCTGCCACGTGTAAATCCGAGGTAGCCGGAACATCCAGTGAAATGCGGGAAATATCAGATTGAAAGCGCTGAAACAGATTGAGCAGTCTAGATATGAATGCCCAGTCCTGTGGGATAATTTTCGTGGCAAAGTTGAGGGAGTCTAGTAAAGACTAATTCTGTACGATTACAAGATCCAGCAGAGAGATATAGATTGATGCTGGATAGGATACGCTCAATCTTATCTCTTAGCAAACTGGCAAGCATATTGACCAAATCTAGTGTGATCTAGTGGAAATCGGTTACTCTCGATAGTCTAGAAGTTATCTGTAGCGGATGGTATTAAGGCTGTCCTCAAAGGCGGTGTTAAAAATGCAATTTGTGTGTTTATTCTCATGTATAGCTAAAATTGTATGTGGCATTCGTATGATTGTTCGGTAGTTTTCATCCGTATTCCATAAGAATGAAAACTATTGAACCATTAGACCATCCCAGAGAGAAGTGTGCACCTTATTAGGCTTTCACACTTCTCTAACCGCAAGTTAATTGGTGCAATCGGTACTTTGTGCATGTATCTGGGTGGCCGCCATTCGGCCATATAACGCACGAAAAACACAGCAGTGTTTGGTCGTCGAGTGTCTGGAACTCAAATCGGACACTCAATTACCCGAACACCGCTGAGACCTCCAGAGCTCCGTAACTCCCGAACGGAGGGGCCAACCAGCCCCTCGTTCGGTGAATTAAAAGTACCGAACAAGGGTATTCATGCGAATACCGATTTAATGGTGGATGTCAAGTATTACTGTGTATTTTATCTCCTGGACGGAAACCGACCGCAGGGCCAAAAACACCTGGAGCCCTTTTCGGCTACCACCTCATGTGCGGTCGGTCAAATTGTCTCTTCCACCGAACTCCCGAACCCCTAGTCCGATCTGGGTGAATTTTGAATATGTTGGTCACCCAGATCAGGGCTACCACTTAGATAATTGTACCTAACTGTTTTGGGGTACATCCAGAAACCGGGTAAAACTGTATCATGTATAAATGGATTATGTGTCACACTGAGGGGAGGTAACTATTGTACGATTGGATACTGTACCAATTAATGTGAATCCCTCCCTTGCATGGGAGAAACCTTTAAAAGGAGTTTGTGTGATTAAAAGTTCCGTTCTGCTCCTGATGCTGTGTGTCGTCCAGTCATTGTGATCTGTATTGGGATATTCGTTGATTACATTGCTTGCGGTGATTATTGCTCTATGGTACTTTATTACTTGTTCCTGAGCCTCACTGGGATCTTTAGTGGAGTTAACATGTGAAAGACCAGCTCTCCGCTACATTATCCAAATAGTGAATAACTGTGGGGATCTACAGACATTGAGCAGTAGCCAGCATAAATACAAAAAGAAAAAGTGGAGCCAATGTATAGCAATGGGGTAAAGATAGGTACTTTGGAGATTAATAAAAAAAGTGGGGGGGTGACTCCTAAATAGTGAATTTGAATATAAAAACACAAAATAAATCTCCAGAATCGTATCTATGTGAGAAAAAGTAATATACTAGAACTTAAATATAAGAAAATAATTGTGAATAAAATAAATATATACAAGATAGTTTTCCACTATTATGGGGCAATACAGTGCTTTATCCACACTTAGTGCCAAATATAGTCAATGGTACTTGAAGTGAAAAAAATAAATGAATAATGGCATATAAAGAGAGTGTAAAAATTAGGTATAAAGAAGGGGCAGTAAGTGGGGAAATGTGCAAAATACAGTGCAGGCTAATCACCCCGAAATAGGGATCACTCCCAGTCCCAATAAAATACAAACAAATACGTATAGTTAAAAAACATATACCACCGGGGGCGCCACAATCACAAACATGTGAATATATTTACCATGGTATGTTCATGGGTAAGCATATAAGGAGATAAAAACAAAAATATATATAGTGAAGTATTTAATGACAAATAGAATAAAATAATAAAAACAATTGCACTCACAAATGTAGTTGCACAACAGGAACATATGTCCTAATTGTGCTAAGAAAGCCTGTCAGCCCTTTCCTGGGCTAAAGTCCCCTCTTGTAGTAGGATCCCGATTTTCAAAAGTTCCAGTGACTTCCAGTAATGATCTGCTTGAAGCTGGATAAGATCCAAAAGGTACTAGGGACACTGGCCGACTTGTAACTGCTCGACGCGTTTTGTCCGATCGACTTTTTCCAAGAGCTGTGTGTTTCTGTTCTTCTTCCGGCTTTTTAAATAATCAAGTTCGCGCGGCTTTCAGTATTGCGCGCATGCGCATTACGGTAAAATTTTACCGCGCATGCTCGCACATCCAGCTTGAAACGCAAAACAGCTTTATTGATACTTTGTGCCGACAGACACATTTCCGTTCCATTTTTATCAATTGGTTGTTTTATTACTATATTATATATTTTTATATTTTTTATATTTTTTTGTTTCTATAGAAATTTTTTTGTTTCCATAGAATTGGTATTAACTTGCATTATTTTTATTATTTTTTAATTTTTTATGAATCATTCTAATAGAATCTAATGATGTCTTCGCCAGGTCTCTCATCCGAATAAAATGATTATCAGTTATTTATACAGTTTGTTATATACAAATATCATTTTTCTATATAGTTTATTATATACAAACAAAGTATTGCAACATTGTGCAAAATGTAATATTATGTCTCTATTATATATTTTTTCTATAGTATGTTTAATCTTCCTGTCTATAGTATGTTTAATTTCTCATTTCTAATAGTAGAATCCTAAAATGTGATGCACTTAAAATGCTTTTTATTTTGCTTTTAAAAGATGGTTTATTAGTACTTTATGTATGAAGATTAACTATGTATGATGAACAAAAGTTCGAAGTGCCCACATATTATTCCATAAGACCAAGTGGTCTGGTACGGAAATGTGTCTGTCGGCACAAAGTATCAATAAAGCGGTTTTGCGTTTCAAGCTGGATGTGCGAGCATGCGCAGTAAAATTTTACCATAATGCGCATGCGCGCAATACTGAAAGCCGCGGGAAATTTATTATTTAAAAAGCCGGAAGAAGAACAGAAACACACAGCTCTTGAAAAAGTCGATCGGACGAAACGCGTCGAGCAGTTACAAGTCGGCCAGTGTCCCTAGTACCTTTGGATCTTATCCAGCTTCAAGCAGATCATTACTGGAAGTCACTGGAACTTTTGAAAATCGGGATCCTACTACAAGAGGGGACTTTAGCCCAGGAAAGGGCTGACAGGCTTTCTTAGCACAATTAGGACATATGTTCCTGTTGTGCAACTACATTTGTGAGTGCAATTGTTTTTATTATTTTATTCTATTTGTCATTAAATACTTCACTATATATATTTTTGTTTTTATCTCCTTATATGCTTACCCATGAACATACCATGGTAAATATATTCACATGTTTGTGATTGTGGCGCCCCCGGTGGTATATGTTTTTTAACTATACGTATTTGTTTAAAAATTAGGTATCAACCACTCAATGCATATGCCTTCAACGGTATAGTACTATGATAACTACTAAATTGTAGCGGCAAGACGGTGGAAAGGAGAGGAAAAGAGCATTATAGGTAGCCCTGATCTGGATAGAGATTCCGACTAATGTGCCTTCAAGGGCACCCCTTACCCCAAAACTGCTCTCTCACTAATAGTCCACCTTGCCCAATCCTCCAGAAAATAGAAAAGCGACTAAAACACATAAAAAGAAACAGGAGTAGTTAACAATTGAAACAAAAGTATAATTTATTAGTACACTAGACATACGCATGAATACAGGGAGCCTACACGAAAGGGAGCCTACCGCGAAAAGACACGAAAACAGTGGAAATAGCACAAACGCGACCATTCCCACCTGTTACCCGAAATGGTTTGTGAGAATTGGCCTGGTAGCGATCTCTGTTTGGCGGATTTCGTGGAAAAACCCCTACAGGTGGGACTGCGAGGAGACCTGAATGAGGCTAGAAACGGAAGTGCAGGTATCCAGGAGACAGACGCACCTTTCCAAAACGTAAAATGAACGTCAGGAGGAGGGCATATATATAAGATGGTAACCCTTCCCACAATTTCAGGCATTCTGAGATAGAGATAGAGATAGATTATATATATATATATATATATATATATATATATATACACACACATACATATACACACACATACACACACACATCTCGCTCACTACAGTTTAATGTAGTTGTTCTGATGTCTACAGCCTGTCCCTGCACTGTTGACATTGCTGCTTTGTAACACCTCTAGTGATAGCCACTTAAGTCATAGTTAAAGTCCCACGTTAAGCTGCACGGAGGCGCTGAATGTTTCTCAAAGATGCATTAATTCAATTCATGAATAAATGTGTGAAAGGACTTACCCACAATAAACAGTGGAGCCCGGCATTCAAAAGGAGGGGGGGGCTGGGGGGTTAGTCCCAGTCAAATATACACAGGAAATTGGTGGATTTGTCTGCTAACAATATCCAGAGGTAAACTTAAACCTACAAACCTACACCAAGTCGAAGCAACCAGATTCATCTTCTGTGACATCATTCCCACTCACTATAGGGTGAGGGATATCAGGAAGGACAGGGTGGCAGGAGGGGAGGACTTGGGTGGCATGTGGAAGGGGCCGTGCAGCCATTGGTCATCTAAGCCAAGTATGCAGGGCATGCTGGCAATAAATGCCAAATATGCACTGAATTGACAGCCAAACCAAAAACGCTCATTTCGGGCTGGCTAATGACACTTCATCTGGAGTCAACTCTGTCAGCCAAGAACTTTAACCCCTTATGGGGAGTGTTTCAAACCAAAACTCTGCGTATTCAGACCCCAAGCACCATGACCAACTCAAATCATTAGAGTGGTCACTGTGTATTGGGTTAGTTTTGAAAGGAGGATAAAAAATAAATAAATAATAATAATAATAATAATAATAATAATAATAATAATAATAATAAAAGAGGAAATGCAAGAACAAGCTCCTACAGAAAATCCTGAGTTATGAGATTGCCTTTGAGAGGATATTCATTTTGGGTCCTTAGAGAAGCTTTTGTCAGTGTTACATACACAAAGATGTTCAGATTAAAGGGTTACTCCAAGCACCATGACCGCCTCAGTGTTTAAGTGGTGATGGTGCTCAGAGTCAGTATGTGCACTGTTTAAGTTTGAAAAGCTGTACATGCAGCATTAAAGCACATTGCTGCCAGAGGTGCAACTCCACCTCCAACTTTGCCAACAGCAGCCCTGGAACAAGAGTTCCAGTCTAGCCAATGTCAATTTTGTGCATATTGGATGTCTATTGTCAGCATGTTAAAGGGACACTATAGGCACCCAGACCACTTCATCTCAATGAAGTGGTCTAGGTACAGTGCCCCTACTGTAAACATTGAAGGACTCTTTAGGTCCCCCCCACCCTCATTGCCCCCCTCCCGCCAGACTGAAGGGGTTAAACACTCACCTTTTTCCAGCACTGGGGAACTCTCCCATCAGCTTTGAATGCACAGCAAGAGCTGCGCATTCATTCAAATAGTCCATAGGAAAGCATTTCTCAATTTTCACAGTGAGAAGCGCCTCTAGCGGCTGTCAATGAGACAGCTACTAAATGCTGGATTAACCCTATTGTAAACATAGCGGTTTCTCTGAAACTGCTATGTTTACAGCTGCAGGGTTAACACTAGATGGACCTGGCACTAAGACCACTTCATTGAGCTGAAGTGGTCTGGGTGCCTATAGTGGTCCTTTAAGTCCACATACTGTTTATAAAGATAAAATTATTTGTGGACTACCCAACTTGTAGTGTTTGAGTTTCAATAAAATGCTAAACCTGTGAGGTATATCAGAAGGGACTTCTGGTAAGATGATAAAACTTCACAAAAGGCAAAGCTTTTGCTATTACATTTTGTTAGTTTCCGCAGCCGCCTTGTGTAGCAATGCTAGCGGGGGCTCTGGAAACTTGGGGACCTGGACCAATTCCAGCGGCAGGAAGCACAGTTGTGCTTCAGCCATCTCTAAACACAGCGCCTAGTGAGTGACGCGTGAGGTCACTATGAAGTGAGCCGCAAGGTAGGAGGTGGTCAGAGGTTTCAGCTCCATGCTGCTGCCTTGTGCCAGTGGATGCCAGTAACCCCTCTCCCAGCCAGCCAGCCAGCAGGAGGAGACCCCCCTCACACAGTAGGAGAAAAAATAAAGAAGAAATTAGAATAAAATAGCCACAGGTGGATGGAAGGACAGGAATATGGAGAGAAAGGAACACTGATATGGAAATAAATGGAGCTGGATGGAGACAGGAGATAGCAAGGAATAATAGAAATGGTTTCTACATTCTGGCAGCTAAATCCCCCCCTCTCCCCTGCCATCAATGCTCTCCCAGGCAGCCATGTGCCAACCCACGTGTCTCCTCCCATCACCCCCTCCTCTTACCTACTTCCTGTTTGCTGCGCTCAGCTCCCCGCTCTGCTCACTCAAATAGGAGCAGCCCCGCCCCCTTCCTTCTACTGCCGCGGGGCATGATGGGTGAGAACACCCGGCGGCCATGATGGATTAGGGCAAGCCTCTATAGGAGCCTTGCCGGCCGGAGGATGAGGGCAGGTGGAGCAGTAGCTGTGTTATTGATTAGTAAAAGCCGGGTTATTGATTAGTAAAGGAGCAGAGCCCCATCCTTGCTGTGAATGAAATCAGCAAAATGTACTCTGTCCACGTCACAGTATAGTGACCGGAGTGACGTCATACGAGCGCGACACGTGGCAGCTGAAGAATGGGCGGGGTTTCATGACCCTCCTCACATGGCTGCATTTTCTGACCTGGGGGGGCGGGTAAAGCAATATACAGGATGAAGGGAGGAGACAGGGAGGAATGCAGTTTGGGTTTTGGGAGATTCTCCATGCTTAGTTACTGGTTGCCCACCTTGTGAGTAAGGCATGTTTTGAAAAACACTCCAGGGCGCTGTAGTGGTTATGGTGCCAGGAAAGCCTTGGCATGGCCCCCATTATAAATAGTCAAACAATTAGCAAGCGGTGTGATAACTTACTAGGAATACACTGATAACCTCTTCCATTGACAGACCGAAGCTCACAGCTTACCTAACCATGCCATGCTGTGCAGAGAGAGCTCATCACCTGATCCTTTGCCAATTAGCTAATCCCTGCACTGCTGGTCTAGTGCATGGCAGAGAGCTTTTTCTGTCATGATTCCCTTTTATTCCAAATGTTGTGTCCTTAAGGGGTTAAAGGGACACTATAGTCACCAAAACAACTTTAGCTTAATGAAGCAGTTTTGGTGTATATATAACGCCCCTGCAGCCTCACTGCTCAATTATCTGCCATTTAGGAGTTAAATAACGTTGTTTATGAACCCTAGTCACATCTCCCTGCATGTGACTTGCACAGCCTTCCTAAACACTTCCTGTAAAGAGTCATCTAATGTTTATCCTTCCTTTATTGCAAGGTCTGTTTAATTTAAATTTCTTATCCCCTGCTATGGCAATAGCTTGCTAGACCCTGCAGGAACCTCCTGTATGTGATTAAAGTTCAATTTACAGAGCAAGAGATAACATTGTTTAAAGGGACACTATAGTCACCAGAACAACTACAGCTTATTGAATTTGTTCTGGTGAGTAGAATCATTACCTTCAGGCTTTTTGCTGTAAACACTGTCTTTTCAGAGAAAATGCAGTGTTTACATTACAGCCTAGTGATAACTTCACTGGACACTCCTGAGATAGCTGTTAGAGATCCTTTATGGGTCATGGCTGCCTACAATGCATCCAAACATTCAGTATCTCCTCTCTCTGCATGCAGACACTGAACTTTCCTCATAGAGATTCATTGATTCAATTCATCTATATGAGGAGATGCTGATTGGCCAGGGCTGTGTTTGAATCATGCTGGCTCTTGTCAGTATATTTATATCGGCAGACATTTTGTGTTAAGAAAGAAATGAAAAGTGTATACTGCCAGTCACTTTCAGAATAGAGGTGACTCCATTTTTGTATTACGAGGCTAAGACAGACACAAGATCTCTTTCTATCACTCTATTCATCCAAGTCTGAGCAAAGGAATGCGTTATGTAAACAAGTGATAAAGCATGATGTTTAACAGTAAAAATGGGGGGATGGAATACTAACCCAGAGACAAATGTATACATATATATATACACACACACTATCCACCTATAATTACTATTATCATATATAATTAGTATTATGTTAATAATATAGACTATTCATGGATAAATATCAATGAGGAAATATTATATTATTTAATAATGTTAGTGGAATAGAAATAATATTAAAGGACCACTCTAGGCACCCAGACCACTTCAGCTTAATGAAGTGGTCTGGGTGCCAGGACCAGCTAGGGTTAACCCATTTTTTTTATAAACATAGCAGTTTCAGAGAAACTGCTATGTTTATCAATGGGTTAAGCCTTCCCCCAAATCCTCTAGTGGCTGTCTCATTGACAGCCACTAGAGGCGCTTGCGTGCTTCTCACTGTGATTTTTCACAGTGAGAGCACGCCAGCGTCCATAGGAAAGCATTGTAAATGCTTTCCTATGAGACCGGCTGAATGCGCGCGCAGCTCTTGCCGCGCGTGCGCATTCAGCCGGCGGGGCGTAACGGAGGCGGAGAGGAGGAGGAGAGCTCTCCGCCCAGCGCTGGAAAAAGGTAAGTTTTTACCCCTTTCCCCTTCCAGAGCCGGGCGGGAGGGGGTCCCTGAGGGTGGGGGCACCCTCAGGGCACTATAGTGCCAGGAAAACGAGTATGTTTTCCTGGCACTATAGTGGTCCTTTAAACACAGCTTCACACAAGAAAACTAGACACCAATGACAGATAAAAAAAATATATATATATATATAACTAACAAAATCTTACAAAGTCCCATTGTAAGAAAAAGGGTGGAATTAAAGGGACACTCCAGGCACCCAGACCACTTCTGCCCATTGGAGTGGTCTGAGTGCCAACTCCCACTACCTTTAACCCTGCAACTGTAATTATTGCAGTTTTCATAAACTGCAATAATTACCTTGCAGGGTTAACTCCTGCTCTATTGGCTGTCTGCTAGATAGCCACTAGAGAGCACTTCTGGGATTCTAGCACAGGTTTTCGTTGCTAGAGCATCGCTGGACGTCCTCACACTATGTGAGGACCTCCAGCGTTGTTAAAATCCCAATAGGGAAGCATTGAAAAACTGTGTGCATGCGCATTAGGTCTCCCCAGCCGGTGGACGTGATGAAGGGGAGGAGCGGCGGCGGAGGAAGAAGCAGCGACGTAACCCATGGCAACGCTCTGACGGCTGCTGGTGTCGCGAGATTTACACTGGAGCTGAGCTGAACGGAGCGGAGGTGAACGAAGCTGCTGCAAAAGGTAAGTAACAGCTTGCCCCCAAGCTCGACGGTCCTGGTCTGTATTATGGCAATGTAAGTTGCCATAATACAGACCTTGACTCGAGTATAAGCTGAGGGTGGCTTTTTCAGCACAAAAAATGTGCCGAAAAACTCGGCTTATACTCGAGTATATACGGCATTCACCGATTGTCACGGATGTTACATATTATTATTATTTTTATAATTAATTTGTGATTTACTGTGTGAAGTAAAAATCCTCTAATGAGCTTCCTCTAGGATCTAAGAGAATTAAAAATTGTGAGTAATTCTCAGCTTTATTATTCGGGGAACCGCGCCACGTTATCAATTTTGATATAATACAAATTATTAAATTCATTTTTGATAATTTTTATGAAAATATTATTTTTATATTTATCACCCCATAAATATCCTCACACTCTGCCCCTGATCTGCCTCTTTGTCAGTCTCAGCTAATCCTATGGGGAAACACTGTGATTGGATCAGGCCACCACTTCTGATGTCAGCAGACAGCTTGTTTTTTTGAGGAAAACAGCATGCAGATTTACAGCTTCTGGCTTGAATACAGTAAGATTTTGCTATATTTATGGAGGCATGAGGGGCCCAGGGGAGCTAGATGGTGGTTGTAACACTATAGGATCAGGAATACATTAAGGTAAATTACATCTGATTAAACGTGAAACCATTTTTTTTCATGCAGGCTGTGTCAATCAGAGCCAGGGGAAGTGATTTAACTCCTAAATGGCAGTGAAATGAGCAGTATAACCTGAGAGGCATGAACTATACACTAAAACTGCTTCATTAAGCTAAAGTTTTTTAGGTGACTATAGTGTCCCTTTAAGTAAATAGGAGAGCTTTTGCAGGCAGTTAGTAACGAGGCTGAATTAGATTAATGGGAGTTTTAGGGGCGCTGCATGTGGTTATTAAAGTCAGTGTGGAGTGAATGAGGTCACTGGGACGTGTCAGTATTTTGTTAGTGTGGTAGTAGGAGAATGGATGAAATTAGTGGGAGCTTGGTGTGGATGCGAGTACTGGAATTAATGCTCAGGTCTTTATGTTTTTTGCACAATAAATAAATAAATGTGTTGCAGAATGCGATACCATACGCCTGCCTCCTTAACCATGCTCCCCTCGCCAGATAAGTCTTTCTCGTCAAACCCATTGTAACGGCACCCCCAGGCATAAAAGGGTTAAACAGCCGTTTAGTAGATCTTCCCTTCCAGAGACACAGGCACAGCTACTGCAGAACACCAAACTGGATACAAGGGAATGCTCCAAACTCCCGAACTGGAACCTTACGAATAGCTGCTAGCAGCTGAACAGGAAAAGCACCCAAGCGGCTTACACTCCTGGCAATCAGTCTCTAACAGCATACAGTAAATCACCCCCAAGAACGAGACAAAGCTCCGTGTTGAGGGTCAAGCAGTGAACAGCCAGAGCTGTGGGTTTATTGTTCTTATATACACATTAGTACCACCCACAGGGTTTTGGAACACAACCAATAAACATATACAATACACTCAGACACGGCCACACAAAATCCTCCCCTCTGCCTGTGATACAATTACCTTACACAATGGGTAATTAGCACAAGCAGAGAAATACAATTTTTCCACATTATTCATAACGTGAAAAGTATGCATCACATTCACATAAAACCATATGTCAAAATCATCCAAATTGGTCCAGTGGTTCAAAAGATAGATCGTAGTCCTTTGTGACCAAAGGAAGCATGGCTTTTCTGCCCAAAACCAGTTCCACAGAGTCTTCTATCCTGGAGATAATTGGGAAGTAATCCAATTATCTCCAAAGACAGAGGCAAAACTCCATTGAACACATGGCAGCAAAAGACAATAAAACATATAAAAACATATAACTGTGCAGCCATTGCACAAAACAGGTACATTCAACATATCCCCAGATAGCTCAGATCTGAGCGCACATTATTACTGAATGGCGCTCAGAGCACACACATACAGTTCAATTGCCATGGAGCCAAAGTCTTTCCCATAGTCTTTCATTATACGAATGGGCTCCATGGCATAGCTATCTGTGGTATCACCGCTCAAACAGGGCAAGCACCAAATGACCTGGCTTTCATGTCTTTGCAGGGGAAAATCAAGCCTTTTAACACAGAGCCATAATCCAAAGGCAACAGGTGAGCAACCAGGCTTCTCCAATGCAATGTGGCGAGATTGGTCTCGTCACATCTCTCCCCTTTTCCAAACAGACTAACAGGGTATCTGACCTCCTGCCGGTAAGTGCCCTTGTTAGTCCAGCAGCCCACCCACAACACACAACAGTAATACAGCCCACCCACAATAAATGGTTACTACACCTGGGTAGAGGAGAACTTTGTCCATGTTCAGGTGCCTCACCACGGCTGTGTGGGTGACTGGTAAGATGACTTGGTGGGTTGCTGAGTGGGCAGAGACCAGTGGTACTCTGCCCTGGTGCCAGCGCTACCACGGGAGTAGCCTGGTTGAAGCCTGGTTGTTGGAGGGGGAGACTGACTGTCTCCCCTTTGGTTACACCGCTCGGTTGCTGGAGGGGGAGAGCGACTGTCTCCCCTTTGGCTAAACAGCCTTGTCGCTGGGGGGGCAGAACCGACCGTCCCTACCCACTGTGCTGTAAGTGCAGAGACCATGGTCCCATCTGCACGGTTGTGGGGTTTACTGTCCCCCCCTGGTACGTTAAGCTGCCGCTGGGGAGAGGGGGTAACAAGCTCCTCTCCCATATATACTTCCAGCCGCGGGGGAGGGAGACCGAATGTCTCTGCTCCCAATACAGAGTCCTGCTGCTGGGGAAAGGAGACTGGGCTCTCTTTTCCCTGTAGGACACTCTGCCGCTGGGGAATAGAGACTGGGCTCCCAATTCCCTGCTGTATCTCCCGCTGGGGAATGGAGACTGGGCTCCCAATTCCCAATGACTCATGCTGCCGCTGGGGAATGGAGACTGGGCTCCCAATTCCCTGTAATTCACACTGCCGCTGGGGATCTGAGCCGACTGCCCAGCATCCCTGTAGCTCACCCTGCCACTGGGGAGGGAGGACTCTGCTCTCCTTTCCCTGCAAGGTACACTGCCGCTGGGGGACAGGATCAACTATCTCTGTCCCCTGAAACTCAGCCTGCCGCTGGGGAATGGAGCTTGGGCTCCCAATTCCCTGCAATATCTCCCGCTGGGGAATGGAGACTGGGCTCCCAATTCCCAATAACTCATACTGCCGCTGGGGAATGGAGACCGGGCTCCCAATTCCCTGCCATTCACACTGCCGCTGGGGATCTGAGCCGACGGCCCAGTATCCCTGTAGCTCACCCTGCAACTGGGGAGGGAGGACGCTGCTCTCCTCTCCCTGCAAGGTACACTGCCGCTGGGGGACAGGACCAACTGTCTCTGCCCCCTGTAACTCAGCCTGCCGCTGGGGAATGGAGACTGGGTCTGTCACCTTACAGCCATTGCACAAAACAGGTACATATCCCCAGATAGCTCAGATCTGAGCGCACATTATTACTGAATGGCGCTCAGAGCACACACATACAGTTCAATTGCCATAGAGCCAAAGTCTTTCCCATAGTCTTTCATTATACGAATGGGCTCCATGGCATAGCTATCTGGGGTATCACCGCTCAAACAGGGCAAGCACCAAATGACCCGGCTTTCATGTCTTTGCAGGGGAAAATCAAGCCTTTTAACATGGGGCCATAATCCAAAGGCAACAGGCGAGCAACCAGGCTTCTCCAATGCAATGTGGCGAGATTGGTCTCGTCACACCCATTTATACAGTTATCCACCGAGAGATCTGAACTATAATGAAACCTGCATTAGGAGCAGAGGACCGTTGGTTTCTTTATAGTTCAGATCTCTCTGGTCCGTTGGTAGAATCGTGCAGGGGTAGTGGTAGAATCGTGCAGGGGTGGCACTACTTCGACTACTACCACCCTATGTTATCATTCCCTTCCATCAATGTGCTCCTTTCACTATAATTCATTCCTTTCTTTGTGTCCTTTTCCCTCTGACTCGCAGTCATCTTTCCTTATATTCCCATCACTCCAATTTCCCCCGCCCTACATTGTCATCACCCTATGTCCTCTCATCAATCTATTCCACCCATTTCCTCTCCTTCAACCACGCCAATCCATCACTCTCTTTCCTATCACTCTAATTCAGGCTTCCCTAAAGTCCGGCCCTCCAGATGTTGCTGAACTACAACTCTCATGATTCTCAGCCTATCTATTTCATTCATAGAATCAAGGGAGTTGTAGTTCAGCAACATCTGGAGGGCCAGAGTTTGAGGAAGCTTGCTCTAATGCATCCTTTGCTACTTTCCTATTACTCCTAGGCATCTCTATTTACCTTCACTCCATTCACCTTCACTGTCCACTCATCACTCTTATTCACCCGTCCTTAACCTCCTCTCTCTCCCTTTCTATTCTACCATCACTGACAGCCATCCCCATGCATCCTTTACTGCCATCTGTCTCTATGCTCCCATTACTCTAACGTTCCCTCTCTATCCTCCATCACTTCCGTCTATCCTTATGCTCCTTCCCATCACCCCCTCTTTCCTTTCATTATGCTTACCCAACTCTCCTTCTACTCATGCCTATTAGCACAACTACCACATGCCATCACACCACATCCAGCAAACCCCCACACACAATCATACTCATCCAATCACACATACACCCGCACTCAAAACACTCAGCAACCCACCACTCACTAACAACACTGCACATTATTGGTATTGAGCTCGGCGATGCACTTAAACATTATACATTACTGTTAGATGTATGGATGGGCTCTGTGATACATTCCTACATTCCTGGTTGCTTTTTATTACGTTTTATTTTTTCTTTATAATTATCTATACTGCATTATGATTGTCTTGTATTTTGAATACTTTGTGATTTTACAATAATATTATTAAACATTAAGTTTTTCCTACCACCATAGGTGTGAGCTACTCCTTTTTTGTTCTTTGAATGTGTACAGATACGATCAAATTTCCTCTTAGGAATATCTATTCTCTTTACCCCAAGATAATGCAGGTTCAGGCTACACACACTCATCCTTGACCAACAGAGAATGCTTGCACTAGAGAAATAGATCATGTTTTCATTGTCTAGATTGCTCTGGTGGTGTCTTTCTCTACTTTCCTAAACACCTATTAACACAATAAATACATGGTGTTCTTTGCAGGATATAGCACATTGCAATGACCTTTTGAAGAAAGGACACCAAGATCTGAAAATTGAAGTAAAGGCACTAGTACATTAGGGCAGTGTGGAGATTCCACATAGCAGCCAACTTTGAGACCAACTTATTCATGAGCACATCCAGGTATGTTAGTTGTTGGTGATCCTGATATTTGACCTATTAACATACATATGTAAAAATGTCCAGGATACTGACGGTAATGCATGTGCATTATTATCATGCTTAAAGGAACACTATAGTGCCAGTAAAACAAACCTGTTTTCCTGGCACTATAAGGTTATTAGGTCCCCCCTTCCCACTGGGCTGAAGGGGTTTGTAACCGCAGCCGGTTCCCTTATTAACCACTATAACGTCTTAAAGCATACAACTTAGCAGGGCTAACCATACAGATATCTTTAGCCATAATGTTATATAGTTAGCTAGAGATCCTCTATTTAAAATATATAAATAATTGAGAATACAATATAAAAAAAATCTTGGAAGCAATAAAGTTTTGTCTTTTAGATGTTTTATTAAATAAAAATATAAATATAGACATATAAAATCCATTACAATAATTTATAGCAGAGAGTTTACAAGATTTAACTATATGCTTAATCATATCATTAATAGATTAACACACCCTCCTGAACATGTCATCATTATAAGATGGAGCAGAGTCTCCAAATCTCTCCAGGTGTTAACATTTAAAAGGTACACATATTTATACCTTTGGTGTCTTCATTTTAGGGTTACCGTCGTTCATATATGAAAAAGTAACTTATTTTATTTTTGTTCTTTCCTGGGACCTTCCTTAACTTGGCAAAAATACAAGGCCATAACTAAAACTTAAGGGTGCACACGTCATGGGAAATTCCCTGACTTAGGACAAGATGGCATCTTAAAGTCCGAACATCTTTATCTATTTAGGGTTAACGCAGTATATTATGTACTAAAAGAGTCGTAACTAGCCTTGAAGCTTGTTTATGCATGCACTGAAAGTGGGTAAAAGATTATTGATTTACGGAACATGTATGAAAAACAATATGTTCCATTTCTAACACCTTGTCAGTTTGCAATATCTCTTAAAGACAATGTACACAGTTTGAGAAATACAATATTTGCAGTTGCCCATAACAGGTTAAAACCCCTTCAGCCACTCACCTTAATCCAGTGCTGGGCTCCCTCGGTGCTGGTCACCCTTTCCTCCCCCTGCTGACGTCAGCTCCCGAGTGGAGCCGAAGGCGGATGCGCGGCCAGATCCACACGCGCATTCAAACCGCCCACAAGAAAGCATTACTCAATGCTTTCCTATGAGGATCTGAACTCACGCTGCGTGAGTTCAATGCAATTTTCTCACTGAGAATCGCGGAAGCACCTCTAGTGGCTGTTAGGGAGACAGCCACTAAAGGCTGGATTAACCCTGCAATGTAAACATAGCAGTTTCTCTGAAACTGCTGTTTTCAGTTGCAGGGTTAAAACTAGGGGGACCTGGCACCCAGACCACTTCATTGAGTTGAATTGGTCTAGGTGCCTATAGTGGTCCTTTAATAATGTGATGTTGCAAACTAACCACAGTTTTTTCTATTACTCATTCTTACTATACTTAAAGGGAAACTCCAGTGCCAGGAAAACAATCAGTTTTCCTGGCACTGCAGGTCCCCTCTCCCTCCCACCCCCAATCCCCGGTTGCTGAAGGGGTGAAAACCCCTTCAGTGACTTACCAGAGGCAACATGTCCCACGTCGCTGCTTCTCCCTCCACCGCCGCTCCTCCTCTGCATTACTGTGCTATGCAGGAGGAAGTGCCCTCTTGTAGACAGCCACTTCAGGTGGAGTTAACCCTGCAAGGTAATTATTGCAGTTTATAACAAACTGAAATAATTACACTTACAGGGTTAAGAGTAGTGGGAGTTGGCACCCAGACCACTCCAATGGGCAGAAGTGGTCTGGGTGCCTGGAGTGTCCCTTTAAAATGAAGTTTTGTGTCTTTTTACTGCCTCAATAAAACAAAGATTTGAAAAAATAATAATGTATTATTATTCCAATGTATGTATAATCTTTTGACTTCTAGTAAAATGGCTTAAAGGACCACTCTAGGCACCCAGACCACTTCAGCTTTATGAAGTGGTCTGGGTGCCAGGTCCCTCTAGGATTAACCCTTTTTTTTTATAAACATAGCAGTTTCAGAGAAACTGCTATGTTTATACTGAGGGTTAATCCAGCCTCCAGAGCCTCTAATGGCTGTCTCATTGACAGCCGCTAGAGGCGCTTGTGTGCTTCTCACTGTGAAAATCACAGTGAGAGCACGCAAGCGTCCATAGGAAAGCATTGTAAATGCTTTCCTATGCGACCGGCTGAATGCGCGCGCGGCTCCTGCCGCGCATGCGCATTCAGCCGATGATGTCGCGAGCAAGGAGGAGAGGAGGAGTACAGCTTCCCGCCCGGTGCTGGAGAAAGGTAAGTGTTAAACCCCTTCCTCTCTCCAGAGCCCGGCGGGAGGGGGTCCCTGAGGGTGGGGGCACCCTCAGGGCACTATAGTGCCAGGAAAACGAGTATGTTTTCCTGGCACTATAGTGGTCCTTTAACATAGGTAATATATACATATATTCCGGTGTGCCATACTAAACTTACAACATGATCAGACTTGTGTGGATTTCTTAATAAACACTTTAGATTTATTGATTTACTTAAAACAAAATGAAAATATAAGTGTGAAGAAATCCCTCTTTATGTTCAGTATTTCTCCCCTGTTCATTCTGTAGATGTAACTACCGAACAGAGACCACCCCCCTGGCTCGTTAAACTTCAAAGAATGCCTCAATTGAACCCTCTACTTGTGCGGCCGTTTGTACTACCGAACGCCACATGGCTGAGAATACGGCGGCCATCTTTTTTTTTATGCGAACAAAGGCAGCGGGACTTGGTCGTCGAGTGTCTGGAACTAAAATCGGACACTCGACTTCCCGAACACGGGTCTCAACATACGAACGCTGAATCTTCATTTCCCGAACAGCTAGAAGAGTGCTGTTCGGTACTTTTGTTCATTCGAATGAGGGGAACAATCGCTGCTAAGAGCCAGGGGAAACTGTTCGTGGGATTATTCGGTTTTTGCTACTTAACAAAATAGACTGGCAAAACTACCCACACTCATGGAACTGCTTTGGGCAGCCACCTCGCGGTTAGCTGGTCACAAAAGACTTCCATCATTTTTGAGAACCCCTGAACCGATCTGGGTGAAATTTGAATATGTTGGTCACCCAGATTGGAGCTATCAGGGGACATTGTTTGTGGGGATACCATATGCCTAAAGGGGTGTTCTAAATATTGGGAAAAATTGTTTCTGCCTGGAGATAAACAAGTTATTACTTTATAAGACTTGATTATCTCCAGGACTAGAGAAGGGAATTGTATGTTTGTGCTGTGTTTTACGTTTTTCCTGTAAATGATTGGTTGTACTGTGTCCCTCCCTGTGGGTTGTCCCCTTGCATGGGGACTTGCATAAAAGCCAGTGTGTGATCATTAAAAGCCAGTTCTGTTGCACCCTTCTTCTAGACTTCGGCTGATGTTTGGGGATTCGTATGCTTTACTAAGGGAATCATCTTGTAAAGCTATTGTATTCGTATGGATTTCGTTTATTTCAACTACCGAACGGAGAGCTATAATCACTGATGTTCTGGGTGTTCGGGAGGAAACTACCGAATGAGGATTGGATATCCTAGGTTTGCTTACAATAAGTGTTTCACAGCTTCTGTGAAATGGTTGACTACTTAGGTTGTGCTTGACCTTCATTCAGAGTGCAAGTACTGTGCTCTTGATAGTGCCTCCGTCTCATTTTACATATACTGTAGTAAATACCCAACTATAAACACCACAAAGGTAGCTTGAAACTTGAATACCTTACAATGGCCTTGCTGCTGATACAGCATTTCTGTTAAAGGAGCAATATAGGGTCAGGAACACAAACATGTATTCCTGACCCTATAGTGTTAACACCACCATCTAGCCCCCCTAATGCCTCCCTAGGTGTAGCAAAATCTTACTTGTTTTTAAGCCTGAAGCTGTAGCTCTGCATGCTGTTTGTCTATGTGGCAAACCTAGCCACTCGGACTATAACTGGACACTATGCCTTTAAGGGTTGCCTGTAGGTCTGAAGAGATATGCGTTTTAACCTGTATGTGTCTGCTTCATGTATTCCCTGCATTGCCTGTACCTATCTGTTCCGCCGAATGCAAATGGCGGTTTGTATGGGGATTCTCGTTCGTTTCACGAACGGCACTTTGGAGGGCCGTTCGTGAAGCGAATGCGATACCCCCTAATAGCCCACACACTCAGAGGCGTGTGGCGCTAGTTAACCGATTGCAACATTGTTGCAATCGGTTATTAGAGGCTCTCCTGGGTGGCCGTCGTTCGACTACCGACCATGCGGCGGTCGGCCATCTTGGATCCTTTGTTCCCTCAGCGGGGTTATGTCGTCGAGCGCCTGGTACTAAAAATGGCTACTCGACGGCATGAGCCCCGCTGAGCCTCCAGGACGTTCGTGAGTTTCGGGACGTTCGGGAGTTTGTTCCCTAATAGCAATCGGTTCTTTTTGTATGTTTTATCTGAATTGTGTTGTTCGTGCGGCGTTCGGTTATTTTAGCAGGGATCTGAGCGGTAATCTCACGAATGATACCCTCAGACCCCAGCTATCTACCGAACGTCCATTCGTGTAAATCCACTATATATTCACCAAGTTATTGATTTTTATGTGAATTATCGGTTCTGCTGCACGAGGGGATAATCCACTTAACGGTGCATTCTGGGAAGATTATCCCTCTCGTGCAGCGGTGCCTGATGGGAGAAATATGCTGTAAGGTAAGTCCCCCATGTAGTCCCCTCCTGTACAACCCCTGTAATGTCAGTAAGGAAACCCCTTGCATGGGGAACTGCATAAATACTGTGACCTGTGATTGAAACCTCAGTTGACTCCCAGCCTATGTGTCGTCTAGTTCTTGGGAAGGAAGGGTTACTGCAGTGCTGTTTGGATTATTGTATGCTGATTCCCTGGATTATCCTTTGTTGTTCCTGTTACCCAGCGGAGATATTGTGGATTATACTGCCTCTCCGCTACAGTCTAAGACTAGCAAGCTGTCTGCTGACATAATCAGAAGTTGTTGCGTGAGCCAATAACAATGCTTCCCTATAGGATTGGCTGAGATTGTCAAGGAGGCAGATCAGGGGCAGAGCCAGAACAATTCAAACACAGCCCTGGCCAATCAGCATCTCCTCATAGAGATGAATTTAATCAATGAATCTCCAAGAGGAAAGTTCAGTGTCTGCATGCAGAGGATGGAGACACTAAATGGCAGTCACAATGTGCAGCACTGCCCCTAGAAAGCATCTCTAACAGCCATCTGAGGAGTGGCCAGTGAAGTTATCACTAAGCTGTAATGGTAACACTGCATTTTCTCTGAAAAGACAGTGTTTACTGCAAAAAGCCAGAAGGGAATGATTAAACTCACCAGAACAAATACAATAAGCTGTAGTAGTTCTGGTGACTATAGTGTCCCTTTAAACATTTTACAAACTGCAGGAGACATTATGAGTTGGCTTGACAAGACTTCTAAGCTGTGAAATTGTTATACTCCTTTCTGTTGCCTTATATACCTCTGGATGAAGAAATTAAGATATATTTTCACTAGACTTATAACCCTACTGGGGATATTTGTATACATTTTCCTACATTTGCCATTTAATAAATATCATCACCAGTGATCCTTTAAGACAGACCATCTATGGATAGTTATATGTTATTTCTTGGAAAAGGGTGACTGTGGCAAACTCCCCTTTTCATGTGAGTTTGCCACAAGCTCCTGGAGGAGCCTGCTTGCCAGCCTCCTGCCCATGGACTATGGGCCCGGTAATATACACTGTAAAAAGTCTCCATTTATGTATTTGGATTATATGGTTCAGGAACCAAACAGACGCACGAACCAGAGACCACCCTGGAGCTTGTTAAGCTTTATGGATGTATTGTAACGATCCTAACTGCAGTGTTCGTCTGGGTGGCCGCATTTCCTGTGGATGACTAAGAGGTAGTGGACATCTTGTTCACATGAACGCAGACAGCGGTGTTTGGTTATCGAGTTCATGGAACTAAAATCAGACAGTGAAAGTCCCGAACACCGCTGGACTTCCATGACCGCCTGCGTTCAGTTTTTATACAACTTAGAACACTGTTTGGTGGGATCGTTCATCTGGATGAAGGGAAACAAGCTCCAGGGTAAGAATATTGACTATGTTCGGTAGTTTGTTCGATTTAAAACTACTGAACTCGACCGACTGCCTGTCCTGATTCTATGGAACTGTTTTGGGCAGAAGCCTCGTGTCCGGTCGGTCACATTAAGACTTTTAGGGAAATCCCGAACGCCTGAACCGATCTGGGTGATTTTTGGATATGTTGGTCATCCAGATCAGGGCTATCAGGGGATGTTACTTTTAGGGGGGGGGAGGGTATGTATTTTTAAGGTACTTTTGGGGTGTTTGTGAAATATGTGTTTTCTGTGCCTGGAGAGAATTGAGTTTTGTACAGTTCTTTACTCAATTATGGTGTTTTCTGTGGGAGTGTCATGAACAGCATTTGCCAAACGCTCAACATACAAGTGCCCAAAATTCCACCTCTCTCCTTGATATCTTGTAAGATGTTTATGAAAAGGATAAATTGTGACCAGTAGCAGATGTATACATTTGTGTCAATCAAATAGCAAAAGATAAACATGGTTTTGTAATACCTTTTATTAAGATTGGGGTTTAAATTGTACAAAAAAAAAATATTTTTATTTTTCAAATGTCTGGCCATAATGCTATTACATATCTATATATACATTTTCTTCTGTGTGTAAGTTAGAAATGTCAGTATTCACTACACTTACGTTTTCTTCTTACGGTTTATTCTGCTTAAAATTACTAGACAAGGAAAGCCATGTCAGTTATTGATACCATTCCATCTGTTACTTATGCTCAGTAGACACCGATGTCTAATGTGAATCTGTGAACAGAATATGTAATATTCTACAATATGGAATGCAACTAAGCATGCTTAGCTAGGTAGCCAAATCTAATCTGGGTGGGTGCCTACTTGTGCTCCCTCAAACATGAGATACTCAGCTGTTACATTCATTGTAAGTATTAAAGATTTGTCATTTTCTCCTTTTTATTTTTTAAAATGATGTTTTTCGTCAATTTTTTTTAATCTATGCATTGTGACAATGTCCTGCTCCTAAAACAATATTGCTTTATTAAGTCCTGTCTTTGGTAAAGAATCATGTTACCTGAAGAGATGCATATGATAGTATTTTTGATTACTAGCAGGGTTATTCATTAAAGGGAGAATTACAGAGAATTTAAAGTAATTAGAAGGCCAGAGTAGCCATACTGAAAGCATTGCTGATTGGGAGAATTTTTCTGTTTCAGGTATTTTGACCTTAAATTTGAAATTCACTTTTAATTACCCAAATTATCATCTTAGTGAATAACCTTGGTAATGTATTCTGCTAGGAAAACCAATCTGCCTTGCCTTGATATTTAAAAGGTAATAGTGGCTGGTGTGAAGTAGGATTTTAGTAATCATCATTTTCAGCATAGTGTAGACAAACAAACAATGATTGTTTTAACCCCTGTATCTCCCGAAGCAATTCACAAGCATGCTTGGAGTAGTGTGCACCCTAACAGCGACAAATGGATATTACACTGACTATTAATATACAATCCAGAGTGGATTACTCTCAGGATACCAAATTTAAAAACTGCTGATGGGATTGGAAGAAGGGAGGGCTTCCCTCAGTATAGGAGGGAAAACAATTGAAGGAGTTATGTCTGTCACCAGCATCCAGTGTGCGCTGACGACAGACGTATTTTATGCACAGAATTGACACCAGGCACGGTGTGTGAACGTACATTTTCTGAAATGTGTGTAAATGTATGGAGGCTTTTGTTTATAATACTGATGTTTGAATGCATGGGTCAGTAAATGTATAGTTTTTGCATTTAAATGCAAGGGTGTGTTTGTGTGGGATTCCCCACAGCAATCTTTTGTACAGTAGAAATTATATGCAGTACCAGAGAAGCTAGGAAGGTCTCCAAAGCAGCGGTGTCCAAATTCTCATGATGAGCGGCAGCCATCTGGGGCAATAGTGAGGTCACCCTGGCTGCAATGCCCGTAGTTCTACCCCTAGTCACCTTGGTTTAATGCCTCACATATTCCACCTACTGATTGCAATTAATCTCCATATATTTATTTCAGAATCATAGCCAGCATCAACCTTCCTACTCTCCTGTTAAATGTAAAACTTTAACAAAAGGACCTCATATTTAAGTATACTGGTCTCTTAATTTTTAATTTACTGCCAGGTGCAAGAATAATAATACAAAAAAAAGAAAAAAATCTATTCTCAGGGGTGTGCATATGTTATCAGGTGCTCTATGGAAAGCCCCATCTACTAGTTTTGACACTAATGTTCAGCGGCAAAGAAACATAAATTAAGGAAAACAGCTGGGGTTCTAATGCAAACTTTAGTTTTAAAGTTTACATGGCAGTATTTACAAATGTCAAAGTGTTAACTAATTGTATTTACACATTTTCCACAAGAATTAGTCAACTAAAAACATCCTAACTAGAAATTTACACAAATTATTATTATTATATTTATACAGCACCAACAAATTCCGTAGCACTTTACAATGGGTGGACTAAGAAACATGTAATAGTAACCAGATAAGTTTGACGCACAGGAACAGAGGGGTTGAGGGCCCTGCCCAGTGAGCTTACATGTAGACGGAGTGGGGTAAAGTGACACAAAAAGGTAAGGGAAGTATTAGTGAAGTAGATTGGTAGAATAGTATTTAATGAAGACTAAGTGTGGTTTTTTTTTTTTTGGAGCCATTAACAGTTTAATTGATATGCTACTGTGAAAAAGTGAGTTTTTAAATGATTTTTTGAAGGAGTGGAGACTGGGTGAGTGTCTAACGGAAAAGACAAGGGAGTTCCATAGGAGCCCTAGAGATAGACTGGATATGAGGGGTGAAGGACAAGTCAGAGTCAAAGAGAACAGCTAGGCAGCCTGCATGGTGGAGCTGATGGTAGCACCATTAAAGGACCACTATAGTGCCAGGAAAACATTTGTTTTCCTGGCACTATAGTGCCCTGAGGGTGCCCCCACCCTCAGGGTCCCCCTCCCACCGGGCTCTGGGGAGAGGAAGGGGTTAAACTTACCTCTTTCTCCAGCGCCGGGCGGGGAGCTCTCCTCCCCCTCTCCTGTCACTGGCTGAATGCGCATGCGCGGCAAGAGGCGTGCGCGCATTCAGCCAGTCCATAGGAAAGCATTCACAATGCTTTCCTATGGATGCTGGTGTCTTTTCACTGTGAAAATAACAGTGAGAAGCACGCAAGCGCCTCTAGCAGCTGTCAAGAGACAACCACTGGAGGCTGGATTAACCTTAATATAAACATAGCAGTTTATCTAGTTTCTCTGAAACTGCGATGTTTATAGAAAAAAAAGGGGTTAACCCTAGCTGGACCTGGCACCCAGACCACTTAATTAAGTGGAAGTGGTCTGGGTGCCTATAGTGGTCCTTTAACTTGGAGGGAGACAGAGACGGGAGTAGCAACACTTGAGGAAGGAAAGACCAGAAGTTCTGTCTTGGACAAGTTGAGCTTAAGGAAGTGGGCAGCCATCCAGTTAAAAATATCAGAGAGGCAGTCAGTGGGAGAGATCAGGGGAGGACAGATAGATTTCTGTGTCATCCGCATAGAAGTGATATTGGAAGCCAAAGGATGAGTGTAACGGATCACCTGGCACCCCGACTGGGTACCTCCGTTGAAGGATGCTCCTAGCACTTCCTAAGGGCTCCAAGCACTCTGGCAGACACCACAATCACCGAACTGGAGAAGCATATGAGTACTTTTAAGCATATGAATGTTATATACAGCCGAATAGGAAAAGCCATGCGAATAGGTTTACACTCCTAGCAGTCCAACTGGAACAGCATACAATAAATCCTCCCCCAATAATGAGACGACACTTCACTTTGAGGGTTAAGCAGGAACTGACTGTATTGGCACATACAGCCTCTTTTATTCCCAATCCACAAACTTAGTACTGCCCACAGGGTTTTACAGAACAACCAATCTGTACAATACACACAGACACTCCCACACAAAATCCCCCCCTCTGCCTGTGATATGATTACTGAACACAATGGTTAATCTAATTATCACAGGCAGAGAAATATAGTATCATAAAACACATCACAGGGACCCCAAAACATGCAACAACCCCATATCCTTGGAACCGGGGGATCTGGGTGAACCACATATCCAAAATTCACCCAGATCCATTCAGTACTTTGGAAGATACAGTTTAATGCAGATTCCACAGAACATATGCAGGCTCAATGAAAAACAATTACTGTATAATGTGTCCCCTGTTGTATAGTCCAAAACCACTGCACGATGTCTCTGTGCACCAAATACCGGCGAGATGGCACCGTGTTGAAAAGTCCAAACAGTGTCTGTGAGTTAAAATGGCAGCCATCCATTGTTCTTACCATGTGCTTCATCCATTGTTCTCACCATGTGCATCTGATACAGGAAATGGTGGCTACCCAGTAACTCCACAGTATGTCCCCAGATGGTTCTTAAAGGGCCAGCAGCAGTACGACACAAATCCCTTATGCCCAAATCATGTCTTTACAGGGCAATACGACCCAGGGGCCATAGTCACATGGCAGGAGGCTGACAATCAGTCTTCTCCAATGCCCAGTGGCGAGGTTGGTTTTGTCACAATGAGTTTACTAAGGGAGGCAGTACAGATTGAGAAGAGTAATGGACCAAGGACTGAACCTTGGGGGCACCAACAGAGAGAGATTGGAAGGAAGAGGCAGAGCCAGAGAAAGTGACACTAAAAGAGCACTGGGTGAGGTAAGAGGAGAGAGAAATATCTTGTAGACCGAGATTACGAAGGATGAGAAGAAGCTGTTGACGATCAAAAGCAGCGGAAAGGTCAAGGAGAATTAGGATAGAGTTGTGACCATGAGATTTTACAGCAAGTAGATCATTTGATACTTTGGTCAGAGCCGTTAACACAGAGTCCTGAGCGCAGAAACCAGACTGAAGTGGGTCAATCAAAGAATTGGACTCAATGAAGTCTGTCAATCTCACATACACAAGTCTTTCAAGGATCTTGGACGCAAAAGGCAGAAGCGACATAGGGTCAATGTTGGACTTTTTTTTTAGTTGCATGTTTGTAGGGAGATATGCCAGAGGAGAGGGAGAGATTGAGATTAGTGAGAGGCTAAGAAAGAGAAGGAGACAGTACAGATGAGATGCGAGGGAATAGGATCAATGGAGCAGATCAGAGAACTCTTCCTCTGTAGCAGGTGCAAATAAACATAGAACAGCAGAGGGAGTGAGGTTGGGGGAAGTATTGTAAGGGGAAGGAGAGAGATGAGAGATCTCTTCCCTGATTGTAGAAATATTGTCAGTGAAGTGAGTTGCAAAGTCTGTGGCGGTTAAGTTGGTAGTAAGAGGAGGAGAAACAGGGCGAAGCAGAGTTAAAAGTGTCAAATAGTCATTTGAGTTCGCGGAAGATTGTGGTTATGAGGGTATTTAAGTAATGTACTTTTGAAGAGGAAAGAGCCAAGTTGTAAGAACTCAGCATAGATTTATAGTGGAGAAAGTCAGATGCTGAGTGAGACTTTCTCCAGCAGCATTCAGCAGTTCTGGAGAATTTTTGGAGGTATCAAGTCAGCTTGGTGTGCCAAGGTTGTAGTTGGGGGCACTTTAAGTGTAGGAGGTGACATGATGTCTGGTTAGAGGACAGATAGTTCCACTGTGCACACTGAATGCTGGCAAATGAGGGTAAAGGGCATGGTATTGTGATGAGGTTTGTGTGGTTTCTGGTTGTGTTAGTGTGCAGAGAAGGTGAAGGGTCCTGGGTTTGGAGAGATATCACCAGCTGCTTAAAGAAGGAGGAGAGATAGTGACAGGTGTGAGTGTGTTTTAAGTGCATGGGGTTGTCACAGTTCTCACTGCGACATCCAGACTGCCAGACGAGGTCGCCCCAGAAGTGGGATTTGAACCTGGGTACTTTGCAATCTTGGAACTGCTGTTTGGCCTCTGAGCCACTATACAGCTCGAGTAATGAAGTATAATCTTGCCTTGTATCCAGCACTGGAGGCTGGACGTTATTCTGAGGCTGCTTCAACATTCTCAGCACACCTGTGGCTGATCACCAATTAGCCAGGTATAAGACACTGCCTCTCCCCGAGGGCAGTGTTAGTTCATTGACTCTGGTTCTCGTATTGCTGTTTCGTGTTCCAGTGTTCCCCTGTTGATTCCTGACCTCGGCTCTCTACTCGTTTATCCGGATTTCTGGAACCCACTGACCTTTGGCTTACCACGACGATTCTCCCGTTTATGTCCATATCTGTACTGCGACTTGGAGCATCATCCTGCACAGCCCCGGTGCACAGACTCACAGGCCAGGTGAGTTCTTCTCTGACCAATTGCAAGGGTGAGCATATCTCAGCATAACGGACTCCCACCAAGGTAAGCCGTGACAGGGGTCTAGGCTGACATCGATTGTGGGTAGGAGAGAGGGAGCAGAAAAGTGAGTGCAGGGAACGAGTTGAGAGAAGAGGGGAGTGTAGCAGAGATGGGGAATGAGGAATGTGGTTGTAAGGAGAGATTTTGATATTGAGGGGGATGGAGGAAATGAGGAGGAGGAGAAGACAGAGCATTGCTAAACTGGGAAAAAGTGAATTTGGAGAAAAAAATAAATGAATAAATTGAAATATCAATGTAACAAGATCCCAGTATGATGGTAGCAGTTTAGAACAAGCATGATTTAGATTACTGTGAAATATTTAGCTACCTCAATAGAAGGAATAAGAAAATGGAATCCTTTCTTTGTATCTCCGTATTCAACGACATAATTTAGTGAAACCCACAGAGCTGAGCATGCACTAGTTACAGAACTGAACTGAATTTTACGAACATTCACAAAATGGTCATATAGCTCAAGGCACTTGATTTTTTTTAAATTATAAAAATAATTTCCCTAGAGTGAAAGAAGGTTCCATGCATTAAAAACAGCATAGTCTGCAGATTTCCTCTCCCGCACAGGTTCAAGTTTCTCCTCTTTTACTAGAATTACATTGGCGACAGTAGAACAGAAAAGCCAGGCTCTTGTATCACATTTTAGTCACACTCAGAATATACCAATATCTTGTTGCCTTTATGGATCCTATCACACCATGTAAGACATGATTCTAAAGAAAATAATTTTTAAATCAGAATACAATTACAATAGCAATTTGCACCTCAATCTTGGGCTCCCACAAGCATTGTTTTAGAGTTGGCATGTCTATGGGAACACATACAACAGATGTAATTTTCAGCAGTATAACCAAAGGCACACACTTCATTTCTTGTGACATGATACATCAACACCTATCCTCTTTTGAAGCAAACAATATGACCTAATGATGCTGGGGGTTTCAACATGTACAATTAAGTCAGAACAACGCTGGCTCCTCAATGTTTATTTATTACATACTTTCTACTGAATATTCTTCCCACTTTATGGATACAAATATTGACTATGAACCTCACTGTCTTCCCTGACCTTGTGCCTATGTGGCCATATTATTGGCATTAAGCATTTTAGGCACCACATTTTGGATATAAGTTTTGTCAATACATTCTGACTACCTGTATTTTTATTGTGTTAACAGTTGTATGTGCAGTTACTGAACATAAAACTCCTGTGGCAAAATTAACATCGCCACTTGGGCCTGGAGAGGACTAATGGCTAGCCTCTTGCCTTCTGACTATGGCCCTGATGTGTATGGCCCTTTAAGAACTGCCTGGGGACAAATTGAGACTTTGGTGTACAATGCCCTTTTAAGACTGTGTCCCCAGTCCCCTAAAATACTTTATTATTGCCTTTTGCAACTTGGTTCAGTAAATGGGGCTTACACAGAAGTGGAATCATGTGGCTAATTTACCTCCCAGGATGTGAGGTTGCTGTGGGTAAATTGCCGACCGCTGGGTGGCTGACGTTCATACAAACGAACACGTGGCGGCAGCCATCTTTATTCTCCTGTGGCGGTCAGCGGTGTGTGCCCCTGAATCTATGGAACTGAAATCGGCTACATATTTGAACGAACACCGCTGACCCATTCCTTCTCCTCCACTCAGTTTTCCGCCGCAGCGTCTAAGTCTTGTTCGCTGATTTGAACACAGTGAGACTAAGCTACTTGCATGAACGGTGTCCCGTTCGTGCATGCGAATAGGATTTAGTAATTTTTCTGAGGGAAATTGACCGACCGCATGTCGGACTTCCGACTAACTTTTTAATCCCTGGAGGGAATTTCCTGAATTTTGAGTATGTTTGTAAGTATGCTGAGTAATATATATGTGCTTTTTATGGAGATTGGATGTATAGTTTTAAAGTTATAGTAAAAAGTATATTTTTCCTGCCTGTGATGATTACATTAGCCCATTGTTTACAGTAATTATATCACAGGCAGAGGGGAGGATTTAGTGGGAATGAATGGGAGTGTTTTACTGCATGTTACGTGTTTTATTGGTTGTTCTTCAAACCCCTGTGGGTAGTACTTTGTGTATAAAAACTTGCATAAAAGAAAGCCTTTTGCTTTCCTGAAGCCTTGGCTCATGCTTGGGGGATGGGATAACTACACTCTGAGGATTGCTACATTCACATTATACTCCCCAGGGTAAGCTCTTATAAGAGCTGTTCTTGTTCCTGCTACGCTCTCTGGAGGAAGAAAGGCCTGCCCACTGGAAGCTGGATCCTGGCCTTGGATCCAGGGTGGGTGAAAGAAGGCGAGACCCCAGCGCAGCTGCATCGCTGGAAGTGGGGTCGGCAGTGCTGATGGTGTCGGTTGGAGTGGTTGGAGTCCTCAGCAAGCGCTAGGAGCATCGATTGGCGGAGGTACTCAGTCGGAGTGCCAGCGGTCCGTCACAACTCCCATATTAAAGTTTATTTAAAAATTGATCAGCTGGATTTTTTTTTCTGCAAATCAAATTTTTCCTATTTTGGGTAAGTCATTCAGAAAATGGAAAGTAATAATTTCCAGTGTGAAGTCTTTAATGGACAAAAAAAAAACGCTTAAAATTCAAAAAAAAATTTCAGCTTACAAATATTCTTGTCTAGTTACTACTGTCTTAACCATTTTCCGCACTCAGACCATGTCAAAGGACAGGATTCTCTCATATATGACTAATTTCATGTCGAGTTAGCTCTCCCTTAGTGATAAAACATTTCCCACATTCAGAGCATGCAAATGGTTTGTCTCCTCTGTGAATTCTTTCATGTCTAGATAGCGAGCCTTTTTCTGGAAATTGCTTCCAACATATGCAACAGGCAAATGGCTTTTCTCCAGTGTGAATTCTATCATGTCGAATTAGTAGGCCTTTTTGAACAAAACATCTTCCACATTTAAAACATGCAAATGGTTTTTCCCCTGTATGAGTTCTTTCATGACGCGTTAGTTGATTCTTTTGGAAAAAAGATTTCTCACACTCAGAACATGCAAATGGTTTTTCTCCAGTGTGAATCCTTTCATGTCTAGTCAATGCACTCTTTTCAGTAAACTGTTTCATACATTTACAACATACAAATGGCTTCTCTCCAGAGTGAATTCTATCATGTCTAATTAGCAATACTTTTTGGATAAATCGCTTCCCACATTTCAAACAAGCAAATGGTTTTTCCCCTGTATGAGTTTTTTCATGTCGCTTTAGTTTTTCCTTTTGTGTAAACCGTTTCTCACATTCAGAACACGCAAATGGTTTATCTCCTGTGTGAATCCTTGTGTGTCTATTTAGTTCTCCCTTTGTAGTAAAACATTTCCCACATTTAGAACATGAGAATGGCTTCTCACCTGTGTGAATTCTTTCATGTCTGGTTAGTTCCCCCTTAGTTGTAAAACTTTTCCCACATTCAGAACATGGAAATGGTTTCTCTCCTGTATGAATTCTTGCATGATTAGCGAGATGGCCCTTTTGGCTAAAACATTTTCCACACTCTGCACATTCAAACAGTTTTTCTCCAGTGTGACTTTTCTCATGGAGAGTTAGTTCGCCTCTTGTAGTAAAATGTTTCCCACAATCATAGCATGGAAATGGTTTCTCTCCTGTGTGAACTCTTTCATGATTTGCTAGTTGTCCCTTTTGGGTGAAAGATTTCCCACATTGAGCGCAGGAAAAAGGTTTCTCTCCTGTGTGAACTCTTTGATGGTTAGCTAGATGTCCCTTTTGGGTGAAACATTTCCCACATTGAGAACATGGAAATGGTTTCTCTCCTGTGTGAATTCTCTCATGGGTAGTAAGTTGTCCTTTTTGTGTGAAACATTTCCCACATTCAGAACATGTAAATGTTTTTTTTGCTTGATTTAGAATAACTTTTTTCTCAGCAATATTTTTAAGGCACCTTCTGTGTGACATTTTGCAGGTGTCCAGTAATCACAGTGAAAATGTTCCTTCATTTTGCAGCCATAATTCCCAAATACTTCTTCAGATGATTCCGAATTTCTGCCAATGTAATTAACAGTAAGTTAGGATGTATTAAAATATAACTACATCAAAACAGAAGGAAATATAAAATTAAGAGCTAGTCCATAACGAATAAAGAAGTCAAACTAAATTTGACATCCTAAAAGGAACACTCTATTGAAAAGTATACTTTAACAAGTTAGTACGTATAGAACTGTTGTCTGCAGACTTTGTAATTCTTCCGCTCTTTTAGGACACAGACATTCTGTCTGTGCCAGGGAATACACCACATCGTCTCATTAAGTAGTATCTGTGCCATAGCCATGCTCATGCAAGTGTGATTGCTGCAACTTTCAAATGCTTCTCAAAGAGCTCTAGTACAGCGCCCTAGGAAGGGAGGGGTGCATTAGCCCAGTGTGCCTGCTGCTTCTTAAACAGAATAAATTGCTGATTGCATCACAGCTGGGAAGGGGTTTTGGCAATTGTCTATTGAAAACAAAGCTAAAGTGGTTTATGCGGTTGGAGTTTTTCTTAAACATTACACAGTGTATTCTGTCATCATGCCAGTCTGGTCTCTAGAGAACCTATGCTAGCAAACAGATTTTTCTTAAATCTCTTTATGGGAACATATTTAATTAAAGAGGAAATGCATACACACACACACACATATTTTATATATATATATATATATATATATATATATATATATATATATATATATACACATACATACACACACATGTATGTATAGCAAGTAATGTTTTAATTACATTTCTAATTAGGTATTTAAGATGAACATAAACGGATAAAAAGCATATGAGAGAACTCATTAACCGCTCCCTCTCCTTGACTGTAATAACGGTAAGAAGCAGTTATTAGTTTAAAATATGTTACAGGTGATTTCCAAAATTTTATTTGGTGATGTAAATACCAGAAAAGTATCAATCTGGTTTCAATATTAATTGCTTAGAAAACAATTATGTGAAAATTCTTTCTGAAAAATAGTGATAATTGTTGTTTCCTACTATAGTTTATAGATACAAAACACAAAATATGGTTTTATGTGGATTTACGGCAAACCTATAAGGGAGCAGAACAACCATAACAGTGCGACCAGATAGGACATTAACAATAATGGGTTCAAAAGCTCAAACTACAGACCCATTGCCTTAACATCTGTGGTTGGAAAATTATTTGAAGGGCTGTTAAGGGGACAATATTCAAGGATTTATTTTAAACAATAATATCATTACAAGTAATCAACAAAGTTTTATGAAAGACAGTGTGATTTGGGGATTTGGAGAAATTGGAAGACTAGGCAGGCAAGTAGCAGAAAAAAAATTCGATACAGGGAAATGTAAAGCCATGCATTTAGTAATAAGGAACCCAGATGCCACTTATACATTAAATGGGATTGAGTTAGGGATAAAATTAAATGAAAATTGACTTGGGAACAATTATAGATCACAATGGTATGCAATCCCGGTCTGCCATTGCAAAAGCTAGTAAGGTACTTTCCTGTATAGAAAGGGGTTTTGAATCACGTAATGCATTTATTACTTTTGCCTCTCTACAAATCGATTGTAAGACACCACCTTCAATATGCAGTACAATTTGGGGCACCCGCTTTTAAAGAAGGATGTTGCAAAAGTAAAAAAAAATATGTATGTTAAAGGACCACTATAGTGCCAGGAAAACATACTCGTTTTCCTGGCACTATAGTTCCCTGAGGGTGCCCCCACCCTCAGGGACCCCCTCCCACCCGGCTCTGGAAAGGGGAAAGGGGTAAAAACTTACCTTTTTCCAGCGCTGGGCGGAGGCTCTCCTCCCTCTCCGCCTCCGTTACGCGCCCGGCCTGAATGCGCCGCAGCAGCGGCAAGTGCGGGAATTTCAGCGAAAGCATTTACAATGCTTTCTCTATGACGCTGGCGTGCTCTCACTGTGATTTTCACAGTGAGAGAGCAGCGCCTCTAGTGGCTGTCAATGAGACAGCCACTAGAGGATTAGGGGGAAGGCTTAACCCATTCATAATTATAGCAGTTTCTCTGAAACTGCTATAATTATGAAAAAATGGGTTAACCCTAGAAGGACCTGGCACCCAGACCACTTCATTAAGCTGAAGTGGTCTGGGTGCCTAGAGTGGTCCTTTAACAGGTTGTTGATCCACAGGGATAGCCGCTTGTCATTATGGAGTCAAGATGAATTTGTTTTGTCTTTTTGTGGCATAATTTGAAATAGCTACAACAGTTTGGGGTTTTTTGCCTTTTTTTTTGAGCAACAGCATAACAAAAAAAAAAAAAAGGGCTACCAGGTTGAACTTGATGGACTATAGTCTTTTCCACCTAGACTACAAGGTAACTATGTAACCAAGTATAACTCCAGTAAGATTTAGTTGTATTGTATTTTTCTGATTGCCTCTTATGTAAAACGATAGATTATTAAATTACTCCTTATAATTGTGACGATATGGCCCTGACGTCTCCAGTTCATGCCTAGTATAACCAGTGTGGGATTCTTTGATTAGCCTGTATTTAGCTAGCAAATGCAGTGTCTCTCCTTGTTGGCAATTCAGTTGGAAGTGATACGGTCCTGGCATGTCTGTAACTGAAGGCGTATCAGTCCTAATTGTGCACGATCTTCTACACTGAGCGCTAGGATTCTGGTACTTGAGTCGCTAATCCCCCAGCAAAGCAGGATCCATTGCAGAGCTACTCTGGGTATTACAGGATATTCTATCTCACTAAAAAACGCTAGCTATTCTCCTGTGAGTGACTGCACTATAGCAGAAAGTAGATAGTTACAACAAAGAAAGAGACAAGCAAGGTTGTTCTTGATGTAAAAGTGAACTCCAAAGAACTAGTTTACTGTATGAGCACACAGCGTTTTCTACATTTACAGGCATGACACACTTGTTTGCATAATACAGGGAGAAGCATGCAGGTTTATTAATTACAGTGGGGAATGGTCAAAGCCAGCTCTTGCAATACAATGGTCTCCTTGACATTCTTACTGTAACCATCCACTAGTCAAGATGTGACACTTCTAAAAACATCTGACAATGGCTTGCTAGGGAAATTTAATAATCCCATCAGACTGCATGGCATCTACCTGAGGCAAAGAGTAACTGAACACATTACACATGAACTAACATAGCTGTAACATTCCCCTCTAATAATCCTACATTTTACAGTAAGGTAGAACTCGCATCTACAATGTAACACTGCCCTGAGAGAATTATACATCTGTCCTGCTTCTGCGAGCCAGGGTAGTGGCATTATGAACTACATACACTCTAGTTCTTCACCTGGGCGTATTTCATCACTAGTGATGGTAGCAAAATAGCACTGCGAGTTTTTAAATGGAGAAAAGAAACAGGGCAAATAGGCCATTTGTCACAATAATGTATGCTGTCTCCCCATACCACTGTGTACTTCTTTAAAAACAGGAAAATATATGCCCCCCTGAATAACTTAAAGGAACACTGTATGCACCATAATCACATTAAATGGTAGGGAACGCAGGCAGTGACTGTCTGAAAGCGTCATCTCTCTGAAAGAGGGTCGAGGTGTACATCACAATCTACAACTTCAGTTCCATTGTATTCCAACTGGGACAGGATACAAGACAGGGTCAATTCACCACTCTCCACCCTACTCTAACAAAACAACAGCTGGGTTCCTCGCATTCAGGACATCACGTAGGAGGTAAAGAGCTCAGGAAAGCAAATTTTGCTGGCAACCAACTATTATTCCTTTCCAACCCCAAGCTAGCAATCCCTAGACTTTACATTATTCAAGAGCACTTGAAAAAGTAAACCTCTCAAAGTGAATACAGGTAATTCACAAAGCTAGGAGAGGATGAAGGGGATAGGAAAAGCAGCACCAGAATGGGAGCTGCTGAGGAAGTGCCCTTTAACATGAAATATGTCCATCCCATTTTCTGCTGTAATTGGACATGCTTTTATTTTCAATTACTGGATGTACTTTGTGAATGAAGATCTACAGCCAAGGTGATGTTGAGATCAAGACTTTTCACATCATGAGGTAGCTTACTGCCCAAAAGAAGAAATCATCCACCACTTAAACAGAGAGCTCCGTTTGGATGGATATAGACTGGGCCATCCAGAGACTTTATAGAGTGATTACATTCTCTCAAGACATTGTCTTGAACAGGACGCATCCTATTCCTTGCCCATTTTACTACTGCAGTGGAAGCAGTTATGAACCCCAGAACCTTCACGACTTTCCTGATATATTAGAGTATTACTTTTAAAATTCCCAAGATTTCTGGTTTGATTCTCACTTGTTTCTCTACTGGGAGACTGATCTTAATCTCCAATGAATAGTCAGAGTCCTGATAAGGCAATGCTTTTTTGACAGAATAAACTGAATTTTTCCAAATTCAAAAGCCAGCCGTGAAGGAAATGGTGTAGGAAACTAATTGTGGTTAGTTAATCAATAGAGGGATCTCTCCTTGGTTATTATATGTGGTTAGTTACCCATTGTTTTAATATCTATAATAGAGGTGCTCAATCATGTCACGCGGGTCACAAGTGTAACTCAAACATATATGTAGCTGAGTAGACGTATTAACAGCAATATCTCCGCTGCTAGACGTGATCAGCATTCCAATTAAGTGTAGCGTTCAAATTCCAATCCCATTCTCCAACAACTAGACGAAACACAGTTTTGGGAGTCAACTGATATAATTGAGCCACAGCTGGATTTTATGCAATTCCCCATTCAAGGGGTTTCTATAATTACATTCCAGGGGTTTCCAGCTGGTGGACCTTGTGGAAGACAGGGAACAAAAAAATATTTCCCATGATCCTTTTCTGTACTTGGAAGATAATTGAGCAAGAACAATTCTTTAATTAGATTATCTCCTAAGTACAGAAAATTACACAATATTTTAAAACATCATAACTCCTTAAAAGGACACTATAGTCACCCAGACCACTTCAGCACTAGGGAGCTGACGTCGGACGGAGAGGAGAGGTTACCTTCAGCGCCACAGGAGGGGGACCCTGAGGGTGGGGGCACCCTCAGGGCACTATAGTGTCAGGAAAACCGCTTTGTTTTCCTGACACTATAGTGATCCTTTAACCCCTTAAAGGACCACTATAGTGCCAGGAAAACATACTCGTTTTCCTGGCACTATCGTGCTCTGAGGGTGCCCCCACCCTCAGGGTCCCCCTCCCGCCGGGCACTGGGGAGAGAAAGGGGTTAAAATCTTACCTTTCTCCAGCGCCGGGCGGGAGCTCTCCTCCTCCTCCTCCTCCATAGCGACGTCATCGGCTGAATGCGCATGCGCGGCAGGAGCCTCGCGCGCATTCAGCCAGTTCATAGGAAAGCATTTACAATGCTTTCCTATGGACGCTGGCGTCTTCTCACTGCGATTTTCACTGAGAAGCACGCAAGCGCCTCTAGCAGCTGTCAATGAGACAGCCACTAGAGACTCTGGAGGCTGGATTAACCCATTTATAAATATAACAGTTTATAAAAAAAAACCCTAGCAGGACCAGGCACCCAGACCACTTCATTAAGTTGAAGTGGTCTGGGTGCCTATAGTGGTCCTTTAGAACACATGACATGTGTGACATGTCATGATTCCCTTTTATTCCAGAAGTTTGGGGGTAAATATTTTTTAAACTCCACGAAAGACACATCACCGAATAGCAGGGATCTGAGCTCCGAATCTGTCGAAATACTGCTCAGATCCGTTCAGTAGATCAGGAAAGCCATTCGAGTGAAGTTTTAGACCGTCAGCCACGAGGTGAAGCCCTAAAACAGTTTCATGCGATTGAAGGCTATGACCGGTCTCCTTTCGGGAGTTCTCACGAACAAACTAACAAATGTAAATGTTCATAAACCCATCCAACCATTAAGAACCTTGCAGTTTTCAAGTGTTACAATCCTTAACTGGAGACAAACGACTCCACTGGAGGGTCTCGGCGTTCGGTAGTTGGTTCGACTGACAAACAATATGTCCATATTCTGTTCGTGAAGTAGAAATAGTTGAACCAACTCAATCTTTTGTATATAGTAAATCTATAAGAATGTATTATGTATAAGAAATGGCTAGTTTTGCCACAATATACGAATATCATTGTGTAGTAGCCACAGTATAACTAAAAAACCTCAAATTCTCAACAAGCAGATGCAAAAATCATATTAGTGATGTCACTCACTCAGTTAGGGTGGTGCTTCTGACAGTTCACACACTGACAGTACAGACACCGACCCACACACACACACACTCACAGTACAGACACTGACCCACACACACTCACAGTACAGACACAGACACACTCACACACTCACAGTACAGACACTGACACACACACTCACAGTACTGACACACACACACACAGTACAGACACTGACACACACAGTACAGACACTGACACACACACTCACAGTACTGACACACACACACACACACAGTACAGACACACACACTCACAGTACAGACACACACACTCACAGTACAGACACCGACACACACACTCACAGTACAGACACCGACACACACACTCACAGTACAGACACCACGACACACACACTCTACAGTACAGACACCCGACACTCACAGTACGGTTACCGACACGCACACACACACTCCACGGTACAGACGCGACACACACACACACGGTACACGCAGACACTGACACACACGGTACAGACACTGGCCGCACGGACACCGACACACTCACAGTACAGACACCGACACACACACTCACAGTACAGACACCGACACTCACACTCACAGTACAGACACCGACACACACACTCACAGTACAGACACCGACACACACACACTACCGACACACACACACACACAGTACAGACACTGCCACACACACACAGTACAGACACTGCCACACACACACAGTACAGACACTGACACACACACTCACAGTACCGACACACACACACACACACACTCACAGTACAGACACTGACACACACGCACAGTACAGACACTGACACACACACACAGTACAGACACTGACACTGACACACACACACTCACAGTACAGACACTGCCACACACACACATTCACAGTACAGACACTGACACACACACAGTACAGACACCGACACACACACTCACAGTACAGACACTGACACACACACACTCACAGTACAGACACTGACACACACACACTCCAGACACACAGTACAGACACTGACACACACACACTCACAGTACAGACACACACACAGTACAGACACTGACACACACACACTCACAGTACAGACACACACACAGTACAGACACACAGTACAGACACTGACACACACACACTCACACACACAGTACAGACACTGACCATTTCTCTAACTATGCTGATTTCACCCTCCATGGATGCAGAGCCTGTCATTTCCTTCCATTAGACCCTGGATTGCCCTCACCCTGCCTGCAGACTATCTGCCCCTGGGGGGGTATTACATCACTCAGCAGTGACTGTGCCCGGGCTAGTTATCACTAGGACTCACCTCCCCCCAGTGACCCCGGGCAGTATCCGCTCCTCCAGGAACTGACACAAACACCGGATGATGACTTATGAGATTCAATTCTCCAGTCGCACAAAAACTCCGTCACAGGAGGCGGGACCAACAGACTGTACTTTATTGGCTGCTGTGATCCACGCGTGTGACAGTCGGAGCGCATGCGTAGTGACGTCACCCACCATGAGGGATTACAAGAAGTTTGCCCGCATCCAGTATGGCCGCCAAAGCAGCATGACGTCACACATAGGCGTTCCATAGTAAGGGAATACTGACTGTGATGGTACTCTGCCAGGTGTGTGAGAGGGGAATGCCAGGGCACCCCAAACAGTGAGCAAACCATAACCACTTCAAACCCAGCACCCCAAACAATGAGCAAACCATAACCACTTCAAACCCAGCACCCCAAACAATGAGCAAACCATAACCACTTCAAACCCAGCACCCCAAACAGTGAGCAAACCATAACCACTTCAAGCCCAGCACCCCAAACAGTGAGCAAACCATAACCACTTCAAACCCAGCACCCCAAACAGTGAGCAAACCATAACCACTTCAAACCCAGCACCCCAAACAATGAGCAAACCATAACCACTTCAAACCCAGCACCCCAAACAATGAGCAAACCATAACCACTTCAAACCCAGCACCCCAAACAATGAGAAAACCATAACCACTTCAAACCCAGCACCCCTAACAATGAGCAAACCATAACCACTTCAAACCCAGCACCCCAAACAGTGAGCAAACCATAACCACTTCTAACCCAGCACCCCAAACAATGAGCAAACCATAACCACTTCAAGCCCAGCACCCCAAACAATGAGCAAACCATAGAAACAAAAACTTTTAAGGGATAGGTTGCGATCTTATAATCATCATCCAGTGCAGCCTAGAACAACTTAATGTGTAATGTCACTCCATACACTTAAAAAAAATAAAAAGTGTTCAAGCGCACACAGTGATTAGATATTATTTACCTTTTTATAAAATGTATAGATCCAACTGGATGTAGTCAAAATAGAGGTCTCTACATAAAAACCATAGTGCAATCTGTATTAACCACTTAAGGACTGAGCCAAATGTACACGTTGTGATCAAAACAAACTCTTTGTCTGTTCAACAATAATTTACCTCTTTCATACTAAGTGCACCCATACTTATTATATATCATTTTGTTCAGAGGAAACACAGCTTTCATTTCATATCAAATATTCATATATGGAACTCAATTTGATATGAATAAAATCTAAAAAAGTTTGAAAACTTAAGAAATGTTATTTTTCAAGTTCTGCATGGCAATTTAACTGTTAATGTCATAGTTACATAGCTGAAAAGAAATGACATGATCGTGGACCCGGAAGTGCGTATGACGCAAACCAGAAATGCCCTTTGGACGTATGCTGTAAACCGGAAACCGGACGTCAGCTGATCGGGGATCAAGACCGGAGACCGGAAGTGAACCGGCGGGAAAACTGAGCGCGCCTTTTTTAAAGATATATAAATGAATAATTTGTGAAGATGTGTAGCACTTTGATAAAGACCATTACTGGTCGAAACGCGTTAGTGCAATATAATTGGAGATTCCATTTTATGCTTATATGCTTTTTTTATATGATTTAAATAATGATTAATAAAGGTTTATTTGTTCCAGTATTTCTCTATTTGGCATCTATCAAAGAGAACCTTTGGATGGAACTACCTTAACTTGCTGGCTGGCATTTGGGTCTCCAGGATATCTTAAAAGGCGCTTGTAGTCTGAGCCACTCTTTTAAGGCTCAGCACCACGTGAGTGGGCTATTTTATATTTTATTTTATTTTGTCCTTTATATACAGACAATACTATGTGATGTATTTTATATTTTTAGGACATTTATGTGAAAATTCAAGATAAAGGGTAACATTGCATGTTCTTATCTTGTTCACATTTGGTGTATATTGCTCTCACCATATTTTATTCTATTTTGTTATTGATTGTTTGTGTGATTTGGAGTGACTCACACTTGGTGAGATTGAGCATTAAATATTTTACTTTTCTTCTTTTGTGTTCTATACATAGCTAAAAAGAGACTTGTGTCCATCAAGTTCAGCCTTCCTCACATTTGGTTTTTGCTGTTGATCCAAAAGAAGGCAAAAAAAACAAAAACAGTTTGAAGCACAATTTTGCAACAAGCTAGGAAAAAAATTCCTTCTTGACCCCAGAATGGCAGTCAGATTTATCCTTGGATCAAGCAGTTATTACCCTACATTGAAAGATTATATCCTTGAATATTCTTTTTTTGGAAGTATGCATCTAGTAGCTGTTTGAACATCTGTATGGACTCTGATAAAACCACTTCTTCAGGCAGAGAATTCCACATCCTGATTGTTCTTACAGTAAAAAAACCTTTCCTTTGCCTTAGACGAAATCTTCTTTCTTCCAGTCTAAACGCATGGCCTCGTGTCCTATGTAAAGTCCGGTTTGTGAATAGATTTCCACACAATGGTTTGTATTGGCCCCGAATATATTTGTATAATGTTATCATATCCCCTCTCAGGCGACGTTTTTCTAAACTAAATAGGTTTAAATTTGTTAACCTTTCTTCATAGCTGATATGTTCCATTCCTTTTATTAATTTTGTAGCCTGTCTCTGCACTTTTTCTAGTGCCATAATATCCTTCTTTAGAACAGGTGCTCAAAATTGCACAGCATATTCAATATGTGGTCTTACCAGTGATTTATAAAGAGGCAAAATGATATTCTCATCCCTAGAATGAATGCCCTTTTTCATGCATGACAATACCTTAATGGCCTTGGCCACTGCTCATTGACATTGCACATTGTTACATAGTTTGTTGTCTATAACAATTCCCAATTCCTTTTCGTGTGTTGTTATCCCTAATTCGCTTCCATTAAGGGTATACGTTGCTTGTGTATTCTTTACGCCGAAGTGCATAACTTTGCATTTTTCAACATTAAATTTCATCTGCCATTTGAGTGCCCAGTCCCCCAGTCTATCTAAATCCCTCTGCAGCAAAGTAATATCTTGCTCACATTGTATTGTTTTACAAAGTGTTGTGTCATCTGCAAACACTGAAACATGACTTTCAATGCGGTCTTCAAGATCATTTATAAACATGTTAAATAGAAGGGGTCCCAGAACAAACTCCTGAGGGACACCAGCTTGAAAATTTACCATTAATGACATCTCTTTGTACTCTGTTTTTAAGACAACGTTCTACTCAAGAACAAGAATATTCATCTAGACTGATTTCCTTGAGTTTGAACACTAATCTATTGTGTGGAACTGTATCAAATGCCTTGGCAAAATCCAAATAGATCACATCCACTGCAACACCCTGATCTATACTTCTACTTACTTCTTCGTAGAACGCAATCAAGTTAGTTTGACATGACCTGTGCTTCATAAAACCGTGCTGATTTTTGCTGATAACCATGTTCTTCTCAAGGAATTCTTGAATATTATCCCTTAATAACCTTTCAAATATTTTACCAGCCACAGAAGTTAAGCTCACAGGTCTATAATTTCCAGGCAAGGATTTTGAACCCTTTTTGAATATATGAACCACATCTGCCTTCCTCCAATCCTCCGGAACACTTCCTGAAAGAAAAGAATCTTGAAAGATTAAAAACAGAGGTTCACTTATTTCTACACTTAGTTCCTTAAGTACACGTGGATGGATACCGTCAGGCCCTGGAGCTTTGTTTATATTAACTTTCTTTAGTTGCTGCAGTACCTTGGCTTGAGTTAACCAATTACAATTATTCTGAAAGTTTTTAGTAGCAATCATTTGCACATCTATTGCCATGGGTTCTTCCTTAATATATCTGGAGAAGAAATAGTTATTTAAAATTCCTGCCTTTTCCTGGTCTTCATTAACGCCCCTGTTTCAGTTTTTAGTGTACCTACACTTTCATTTTTTTTATGTACTTTAAAAATGCTTTGGGGTTGGTTTTGCTCTCTTTAGCTATCATTTTTTCATTTTGAAGTTTAGCAAGTCTAATTGCCTTTTTGCACGCTGTAGCGGATGGCACTGGGCTGTCCTGAAAATTTCGTGTGAATAGCTGCATTCGTGTAAACTGTTGGTTGTATATGTGTTTCAAAAGAAATGTATTCCTCTGATTGTTCGGTAGAATCATTCGAATAAACTAAGGAAATGAAACTACCGAACAATCAGACCTCCCCTGTGTGAAGGGTGTCCTCAATTACCCGTTGCAACATTGTTGCGAACGGGTAATTGACAAGTTAAGTAGCCGTCCTTTGTTCTCGGGGGTGGCTGCCATTCGACAAACGAACACATGGCGGCGGCCATTTTAAAACTCCCGAACAGCGGTGTTTTGCTCAAATCGGACACTCGCCTAGGCGAACACCGCTTAAACCTCCACAAGCCCGGTCCGTTCGGTTCCTAACTACCGAACGGCCCCTCGTTCGGTAGACAGAAAGAACCGAACGAGGGGATTCAGGCGAACCCTCCCTAGCCTCTATAGCTAGAGGTTTTCGTGCTATTCATTCCCTGACTCCAGGACCGACCGCAGGGCCCATTCACATGGAACCGCATTCGGCTGTTTCACTCAGTGCGGTCGGTCATTTTATTCCCTCCATAAATTTCCCGAACCCCTTGTCTGATCTGGGTGATTTTTGGATATGTTGTTCACCCAGATCAGGGCTACCAGGGGATGTATGATTTAAGGGGGTACCACTATGTTTAAGGGTATAACCAGAAACGGGGGGAATTGCTGGACTGGATAAGGGGATTATGATGCAGGCTGAGGGGAGGAGATGTGTGGGAGGTTACCAGGACAGGATTGGCTACTGTACTAATGACTGTAAATCCCTTCCTTGCATGGGAGCATGCTTTAAAAGGCCAGTGTGGAATAAAGATTGCAGTTCTGCTCCTGAAACTCTGTGTCGTCCAGTTATTGGGATTGCTGTGGGGATACTGCTGTTATTTTGCCTGCTGGAAACCTTGCCTGTGGATTTACAATTTACTTGTTCCTGAGCCTCACTTGGATTATAAGTGGAGATAACCTGGGAAATATTGCATCTCCGCTACACACGCATTATTTGCTTCCTTATATCTTTTATAAAATGCATCTGATTTTTCCGATTTAAATGCTTTAAATGCCCTTTTCTTATTTTTAATCTCTTGTTTTACTTCTCT